ACTGCCCCCATTGAACAGTGCCAGTAACAGGCTTAAGGTACACCAAACCCACATTTCTGCTTCCAGTTATGCAGCTGTGCAGCAGTTTTGAAGGAATTCATCTGGGGACAGGGGTACCTCTTGAACAGGTTAGTGCCCCAAGGCAGCAGAACTTGTAAATGGGCTCAAACCACCCACTCAGGGATCAATCAGTGGGAAGTTTTCAGATGCCAGCCTCCATTCAGTTGCTAATAGAAAGCTCCAGAGCCAGGGAAGGGATGTCAGAGTGAAATGGGTTTGGGAGGAGAGACTGTGAGGGGCTGGGTTGGTGGTGGTGAGGAAAAATGGGAGGGAAGAGGAGCTGCCCAGAATAAAGAATGGGATCAAGAAGCAGAGGATGTCAGATCTGGGTTTTTCATATTTTTGCACCGGGGGAAAGAAGAAAGCCACAAACCAATAGGAAGTGTAGAAAATACATTTTTGTTATATATTGTGTGGTTTGAAATTACAAGCCAAAATTCAGTCTTCCGTCATCATTGCATTTCTTCAGCATTCATTGGATTGCTTCCAATACATTGGAAGAGAGAGCAGAGAATCATGCAATGTAGAGCTCCACTATCAATTAAACAGTGCTACAACTTAATGAAGTTTGTGGATATTTTACCAACGTTTCAGATTTTCATTTCCTTTATACCAGAAAGAAAGACAGGACTAGAATTAAATACAAAGGGCTATATTATCTATGCTTAACCATACAAATGATATTCATGTGTCAGGCCTCTTCCTCTAATTGCGGTTTTGCTTGTCTACAGAAATACAAGTGTCTCGATAAAAATGAAACTGATCCTTAAGAAACAACATTTTCTCAAGAAGTAAGGGGTTCTTTTGCTTAGCTTGGATGGAAGTTAGACTCTACTGTTTCCTGCCGGTCTGCCTTCAATCCTACATTCGTTTCAGTGTTGTCTTTTTTTTTTTTTTTTTTTTTTTTTCCATGATAGCCTTTAAACAGCAAGTGCCTTAAAGCAGAAAGCCTATATTATTTTCAAGTGACTCCTTAGAGGACCACATTTGATTTCGAGTTTTCTTTAGACTAGGTAATACTACAAATAGATGGGGAAACACAGGGAATGTTCAGAACAAGACAGAACATTTGTGCTCTAAGAAAAAGTGATGGTACGCATCTGCAAATCTGCAGCTGGAGAGAAAAACTGATTTTTCTCCTCCACGTTATTTTATCACAAAGTACCAAAGAGAAACAGAATATTGGGGTGAAGCTGTATCTCAAAAAAGTGACTACTGGGAACAGTTAATGACATTTTTGCTGACACTTATTCCTGCACTCCATTCAAGCTGTTGTCTGTTAAAAGGGCTATGATCTCTAAGAGCTTGCAGTCCTTGTATCTGAGTTCAGCTTCCCAATCTGTAGTTAATCAAAGTGATTTGTGCATACCTCAGTTTCATTTCAATTTTTTAGTACAAATTTTTCATGTAGTCCCACTACTTTTCTGAATTTCTGTGGCCTCTAGTGCGAATTCTTTCTTAGGCTATATTGCTCTTTACACAGCCTTGAAAATGTCTGAAAAAAAAAACAAAAACAAAAACAAAAGCAAACAAAACAAACAAACAAACAAACAAAAAAAGCCACCCAGAAGGGATCACACAGTTTAAGAGCCAAGGTAACATTTTAGAAATGAAGGAATGCTGTATTGCTGTGTGCATCGCTTGCCAGTTCTCAACAGTAAGTTGTTATGTTTTTAATTGTCAGATGTGACACCACTGCTGCTGGAGGTTCATCACAGAACTGGAATTAAGACCACAAATTAAGTCATATTTGTTGATCTGCCAGACCCAATAACAGAAAGAAAACATGACATCTGAATACCAAAAGGATGGGAATTAATTAAAAAAAAACAAACAAACAAAAAAAAACACTAGAAATTACTACAGCACAATGTAAAATTGTATAAAATTACTGCAAATATACAGTTTCTATAGATAAATAACTCCTGTAATCTCAAATTTGCAATTCTTTATGTTAACGTAAATAATTTCCATTAACATGGACAAGAAGCCAATAGGTTGCCTTGTGTGTTTTGTTTATGTTTTCTATGTTTGGGGGGGAGGGAATATTTCTCTTTCAGACAAGAAATGTATGTGTGTGACATAACATGTGGAAGAAAGACAGGAGAAAAAAAATGCACTGAAATTATAGTAACATAGGTCTTAATCAGACTACTAACTACTGCCAGATCCCTTCCTCATGTGGGAAGCTCCAACAAATATTAGTATGCACCCAGGGTTTTCAGATATAGTGAAAACACTGATGCTGCCCTGCTGCAGTAATTTACACACAATGTATGTGTAATGGACTTTGATTATGTATGCACCTAATTCCCTTCCTGTGATGGACTGCAATCTGATCTACATTCATGGTCCTTTTGTATTGCAGTGTTGTGGCTGCTGAAGGTTAATTGATAGCAATTGACTAAGAAGGCATTTCTCTGTTGGAAACAGGTGGCACTACTTTGAACAAAAATGGTACAGGAGAATCTGAAAACAGTGAAGCAAAGATAAGGTTTATATCTAAAGATATGTGATTTGGAGTGTATGCTCAGATGCAATTTGTTATCATAAGGGACAAGGCATCTTCAGAACTCTAGGTGGCTTTTTTGTTGTTTTGATATTGTGTTGTTTTTTTGTTTTTTTTTGTTTTTTTTTTGTTGTTGGTTGTTTGTTTGTTTTTGTTCTTTCAGGCATTTTCAAGGCACAGGCTATGTAAAGAGCAACGTAGCCTGAGAAAGAATTCCCACTAGAGGCCATGGAAATTCAGAAAAGTAGTGGGGACTACATGAAAAAATTGTATTAAAAAATTGAAATGAAACCGAGGTATGCACAAATCACATTGATTAACTTCTGCTTTCTTTTCACCCCTGCTACCCTGCCAGTATGCTGTCTATACAAATTGTAGGATTATCTCCATGATGAGTAGGCTGAGTCTGCCTCTTGGATTGCTGTAGACCAAGCTGATGTTGATGTTTGAAACAACCGTTGCTAAAATACAATGAACACATTAATTGTATCTGATCGCCCTGAGCATCAGCGTCTTAACCCTCTGCTTAATGTTTTAAGCTGCAAGGTTTATTTTAGAATCAGGTGTGCAATTAGTTCTGAGTGTGTAATTAATGTAGAAAGTGATTTGTGTGTGTTAGCCAAATTGCTTCAAACCCTTAGTGCTTTTATTCATTGGATCTGTTTTTGGTGTTGGATAATTATTTGGATATACTTCTCTTTTTGATCTCATGCCTTCAAACTCTTTAGATTTTTGTTTTTATGCTACCATGTATTTTTGACTCCGCTTAATACATACGGTTTAGAGATGACTTTAAATTAGTAAGCAATTACTCAGAATATTAGAAAAAATTGGCACAAGCTTCAGTATTCCATATATGTTTATGAGTGATAAATTCATATGTTGTGACTATAAGCAACTTTGATTTTTCAATCTAATTAATAGAAATTTGAATAATTTTATATTTTATTCCTAATTACTGCAACGTCAGGAGAACATGTTTCTATTCAATGTAAAAGATAGAAATTAAGGAAGGGACACCAATCAAACACTATTTTTACATTTGTGAATCTTTCGTAACTCCTTCAGAGGACCTCACAGGACTGCTTCCTGAAAATATTCTCTGTAAAACATTTCAAAGCTTCATCTCTATGTGTGATATGCAAGGTCTAATTTTCATGGGAGAGTAATAAGCCAATTTTGAGCTGTGGTCCAAAAATGTACATTTGTTTTGGAAACAATTCAGGCTTATATGTTGGAAAAGAAGTCACTAAATCACTATGGATCAGTATCTATTCATAGGCAATGCAACCCAAACTGTCAGAGACTCCTCAGAGAGTCCTTTGGAGTGATGGTAGTTTAATATAAAATATACTTGCTGCCTCTCATTTAATCCCATCAATGGATAAGAATTTCCAAAGGCTGCAGTTCCTTTGCTGACATCTCCATGGTCTTCCCCTGCCCAGATCAAAGATGCAGGAAAAGGTTCTTGTATTAAAGCTCCAGCACAAAAGCAATCACATCACAAATAGAGATACCTCAAATACATTACACATCGGCTAATTAAGCTGTGATCTGGAATTAACGTGCACAGGACTGGAGCACAACATGTGCTCTATAGTATCCACAAGTGCTATACAAGGGTATACTACAGTAGCACCATGTTAATCTTATTAATTCATGCCTTGTTTAACTAAGGGAAGGGCCTCCACTCTGGAACCAGATGCAGTTCCATCAAAATTCATGTGCGTAATTTGTGGTTTCTGGGAGTGTGAGTATTTTGTGTTTTTGGGGATGTTAAAACTTTCACAGTTCATATTTACATTTATTTTAACAACACTGGCATCTGAGCAATTGATGTTTAAGGTTTTATTAATGGCAAAATTAAAATATCCTGTGTCCTGAGGTCCAGGTTGTATGTAAGATTTAGAGTACTCAGCAGGAAAACACACAGCAGACAACATTACTGTAATGGTGTTACTGTTGGTTACTGTTGTGCTGAGGGGTTTATGGTTAGGATCCAATCAGGAACAATGGTTAAGATCCACTGCATTAGTGTTGACCCCACTGCATCCGTGCAGACCCTGCAAGCACGGAGCTTTGATTTGTTTGCATAAATACAGCTTCATCCGTAAGAACATATGATTTTTTTCCCCACAAATTGGGATGTCAGGATGGAGAGAGTCCATGGATGGGAAGAAAAGGATGACTGGCACAGTCTACCCAGTACTGCACTGCTCCCTCTGGATGCCACAGAAACACTCATGAAACAGAGCTGTGCCAGGGTCATGGCTCTGACTGAAACTGATTCCCCTTCAGTAAGTGGGTGGCAGCTCTGACATTTAGATAATTTGGTTTTAGATAGTTTGGCTTCATCTTGTTCATTCTAGGATACCTAGAATGTACAATATTTTGTACTGTAAGTATTGCTTACATCATTTTTGTTTTCTAGATTTTGGGTTGCAAGAAGTATGTGCAATACTCAAAGAGTTTTCAAAACAGGAATTTACAAATGAACTCTGAATGGCTCCTAAACACCATGGACCTCTGTAAGTAACTGAATATGCAATCACTGCAACTAATTACTACTAAGCAATATTATACTGAAACCTCACACCATCATAAATTGACATGTAAACTTTGGTAATGCTAACAACAGCTGCTTTATTAGAGTTATTGTTACTATCTATCAAGGCTCAATGTCTTATCCCTTTTTGTGTATCATTTTTCCCTGGTCAGTGCAGTTGAAAACCTCTGTCCTAGCATGCAGCAATGCAGTAAGTGCTTTGTATTAAAACAAACAAACAAAAAAACAACCACTGAACTTTTCAAAATTTTTTTCCAATTTTTTCCATACTTCAGGAGAATACTTTAAGGGCATTTTATTAATTTATCGATTAATCCTAACACTAGAAAAAACGGACATGCTTTACTGAAAATTCCAACTTTTCTTGAAATGTAAAACAGAAGTTTTTGAATGACAAGCCTGTTATGTCAGGTTTTCAACTGCTGCTTATTTGAAAAAGCCTGGCATTTGAGGGAAAGACCTTAACCAATGCCCTGAGATTGTGCTGTGTGTTCAGCCCGTCTTCAATCTGCTCTGATCACATCCAGCTCTGGTGCTTTTACTGCTCAAATGCCTCTGCGTAAATTTTAAAGTTTCAGATATCCTCTCTTTCCTTCTGAGATCTCTGAACAAATGTGGCCATTTGATATTTTTTAGATGTTCTAATCTTTGGTAATGTAAAGATTAAAGATGATACCATGTCCGTTTTTGGACTGTGCTACAACTTTCTTAATTTGTAACAGAAACAGCATAAAAAAATAAAGTTCCCTGGTCTTAATATTGCTTAGAAACTCCCTAAGAGACGCGTGATTGGCACTGCTTTGGTCCTGTTTCTTCAAGTTCTCCATTAGGATTTCGTTTTTAGAATGTACCTGGGTGATTTCTAACTTGTAGCTGCATGGGAGGTTGCTGACAGTGAGCACAATGCTAAGGAAGGCTTTGGGCAAATTCATCCAGGAAATTAATTACAAACCTATCTAGGTTGAATTTTGAGACCTGGAAATGGTGTTCATCCACACTTTATTAATAAACTCTGCATGAGCCCTAATTTGCTTTGCCTTTGTCCTCTGTTCTTCTGGTGTAAATCAAATAAATGAGCCTTGAAAGGTGAAAGCTAATCTTCCCAAGACTCTGCTGACTTGATGATGTAAAATGGGGTGTGTAAGTTGTGAATCAGGACTGCTGTATCTACCGTGTGGACTCTGTTGTAATGCCAAACGAGATCTCGGTGCCCTCATATCCTACTTCAGTTTGTTTGACAGCCTGAAGAATTGGTGGTTTCTGTTTGTTTGTTTGTTTGTTCTTGCTTTTTAGCACTGTGCTTCTTCTGGTGAGGTAAATAACAGGGAGGCCTATGATAAATTTCACACATCTCCACTGTGATTGCTGAGGCCTATGGTCAATTCTCCATCTTAAGGTATTTATTGGCACTTATTCTTGGGTAAACCAAATTTCACTCTTAAGTACCATCATAACCTTTCCTCCAAAAAACAGCCTCACTTTTCACCCATATTGTTTCTGGTCTATTGGTGAATCCAGCTCCTTGGAAGTCTGTTCAAAAACTTTCAGTATTGTTGTGTATCTTTTTAACTTATCTGTGCTTAAAGATGCTGTGTTCCATTCTATTATCCTGTTTCTGCCTTGAATATTTCAAGTCTTTTTGTAAAGAGAGAAAGCACAGAGGATGTTGGTTTAGACAATTAAAACTCATAGCTTCGTAAGACCAGTGGATTCTGAGGTATCCTTTTTTTCCAAGGTATTTTCAGGGGGCTTACAGGGTAACATTGAGATAATGATGGTTGAAAAAATGTAATTGGCAAGAATTGCAGATATGCCTGACTCCTCTCATGTTATTAGGAGATTCTTTCTTTTTATCTCATCTCTCTTTTTTTTTTTTTTTTTTTCTCCCACCTATCTTCTCCCCTGAAATATCCTTATCCAATGAATGCCCAAACATGTAATTTTAGATTGTGGGCTTTTGGTATGTGAGCACGCACTGGTGGTAGGGTTTCTGTATAATGACTTGATAAACCTGTCAGGGTTTTACTAGTAATGCATAATAAATGTGGTTATTATAGAAAATACTCCTTTTCCAACAGTGGCTGTTGGGTCTTTAGCAGGTTAGGAATCTTAATTCTTCTGTAATTCTCTTTCTCTCTTTTCTTCTCACCTTTTCTGTTCCTCATGATTGATTAAGGACTTCAGCAGATTGTAGTATCATCGCTCTCAGCCTTTACATATGAAAAAGATGCTAATTATAGATGAGTAGTTTCTTGTAAATATAGATTTTATTATTTTAAAATAATTTCTTAATTTTTTAACCTGCTCTTCTAGTGATATAGTTCATTAAGTAAAAATGTCTGTTAATTAACCTAGGCTGTTGTTATACTACATCACCCACTCCAAAGCATCAGCCCAAACCTATACACCTCCCTTCAGTCTTTTTTGTTTGTTTGCTCGTTTGAGGAAACTCAACACTATAGAACGTTTCTGGAAGCTGTTTGTGCATTCCTCCAAATGTCTCTAATGATGCAGCAGAGGGATCGTGTGGAAAGCCACAACCGTTTACCCCAAAGACCTGAGATAACACAAGAGCAGGCGTTTTCTGAAAGCCTCTGCTACAGTAATCTTCTAAAGAGGATTATGCATTTTAAACAGCCAATTAGGTGCGATTAGGAAGAAAACCTCAAACCATTCCGATGACGGGAGAGAAGGAATGCGGGCAAACTGACAGCTGTTAAATGGATGAACAAAGTACCATAAATGGTCAGGACGTTGCAAGCAAAGGGAGAAGAATGGGTACATAAAGGGAGAGGAAGGAATAAGTAGTTTAAGGTCACAGTTTTGAATCTGTAGCAGATCCGTGCTCACCGGGGCCCCACACCAGAGCATTAAACTCTTTTGCCTTCTCTGAAATTGAAGGGAAAATGCTGCATTTTAAGTGACGTATTAGCAAGCACAAAATCTAATTTTAAAAAATCTGAGTTTTCAACCATCTTTTTAATCTTTTCTTTCATTTACCATATGCATTTTAAGAAAGTTGTGAAACAGTATGCCAAGAAGCTCCCATTTCTTCTCCCCTTTATTCAGCAACTCCTATAACCATGGAGATACCCTCCCTTTTTATAGCTATTACTTACAATTTCAACATTCAAATGAGAACCTGTAAATCCATTTATCAAGTACTGCTTAAAGTTTTCATGTAAAAGGCAAAGTTTCTGTTTTTCTTCTGATTAATCTCTGAATAGAAAACACAGCTGAAATTATATTTCTTTGTAGCTTTAGATGGTCTTTTCAGTATTTAACAAATTCTGTAAAGAACTGTCATTTTTGCAATGAAATTTTTTCATGTTTGAGAAACAACACGCAGTGTTTGTGTTTGATTTTGTTTGGTTCTTTCTTCTTATTTTATGCAAGCTAATCTGAGATTGGGTTAGGAACAGATTTCTGCCTATTGTTGTTTGCCTACTCTGCAAGCAGAGGACAATTTATATTTCAGTTTGTCTCTGAGACCTTGGCTGTTTCAACTACATGTGGTATCTCTGTCCTGTGGTGTTGCAACCAACCTTTATTTTCCATTCCCCTTATGGAAAGCAAAAGCAAAGAAAAACAAAAAGACATTTTTGATTTCAGGAATTTACACAGAAGTGCATGATCTTCTCCTGATAGTCCTGATACATAATCTCTTAGAATTAGGATTTCCATTGGAAGCCTATGCTCAGAATTGCCTTTTTGGCAACTTGTTTTGATTTGTATTTTATTTTTAGGTAGTGTGTGCACAGACATATTTGGTGAATTTACTATTCGTATTTAAGAGTTGGATTTTTCTGTTCCTTACAGTTTGAAAACTATGGTAACTGGAAACAAACAAACACGTAAATAAAGCCATGCAAATTTGGTTCGTGACTTTTTTTTCCAGATGATTTTTCAGCAAATTGTGCTGAATTTGCAAAGAAAAATATATATATATGTTTAGTAATTGCTCAGGAGCAAGCTCATGTGTAATAAATAATGTCTTTAATCATTGAAATTTAATTTCCAGAACATGTCATATTGTTCACCTATCCATTGAGAAAGCTGTAAATTAAATCTGGGTCTCTACTGAAGTCATGGTTAACAGAGGTGATCCTCTGAAATCCATTCAAGATACTCTCCTCTTTTTCTGAGTGAATGTAGGCTTGATTGCTAATGCAGACTCCAATGGCAAACACCTTTTTCTAAATAAATCCCACGTTGGATTTCTGCACCTCTCCTCTCTGGCTACGTTTCAACTTCCACAGTTTTATTACTAAAGTGGCACATGTATTATAAACTGCTAGGATGAAAGTCTATTAGCTGAGGTTCTTCTGCACAGACTATTGCATCCCACATCCCAGAGAGTGAGCTAACACTGAATGTGATAAATACTCTGTATTGTTTGTTTATTTTTGAGTTCTCTAAACAGTGAAGGTACAAGTAGGATCGTGGTTTTGCATCCTTTCCCGTCTGCACCTCAATGGAGCGTTTTTTCAATTTGTAAGGACTCTGGCTGGGCTACAGCTACCCAAACTTCTCAGTGTTATGTTAGTGTCCTCTCAGACAGGCATGCAGGTCGCCTTGGTCTGTTGATTTAATGCATTCTGATTAATAATTTTTGTCATTGTGCTGTAGATTTGGCCAGAAATAAATTCCTCCTCTCTTTTTTTTTTTTCTTTCTTTTTTTTTTCTTTCTTCCAGCTTCTATTCTCCATTAACCTTGATGTAAATCAGGAGAAACTCCACAGAAGTAAACACAGTAATTCTGATTTAGGTACCACTTGGGATCAAAATCTCACCCAATCTGTAACTGTGGGTCGACCAAGACACAATAGCATAAGCAAAAGATGTGCAACTGAATCACCTTTGTTGAATAGTCATGAACTGACTATCACTTTGTGGAAATTATTGAATATCAAATACTATAAGATTAATTTCCTATTAATGTGACTAATCTTGTCAAGTATGAGAATTTCTGTTCTTCATAAAACTGGGATAGCAGAAATTTGAACTTTGGCATTTGTCAATAATTTCATTTCTTGAGATTTTTCTCTGGGATTGTCTCTGTTTTATGTAGAACAAAAGTAATACATATTGCATATCAATTTACAGCATTTGTTTTCCACAGTGCAGTAAGGAAAGTCTTTATGATCTCTCACCAAACAAATATACAAAGAAAATAATGTGAAAAGGTGCACGCCAAAAAAAAATAATTAAATCCACAACAAAACCCAACAAAGCCACATAGTTCTCAAACTTCTGCACTATGCAGCAGCTATTATTTGAGTTATCCATAAATAACAATTATAATCTTGACTGAAATATAACTGACTTCTGTTTCATTCCTGGCCAATAGATGAGCTCAAGATGTACACAAGTGTGGTGAACCCAAGGGATTTAGAGAGCATCATAAAAGCATTTTATTGTGCACTCCAATGCTGTCATCTGCAGCTAGCTAACAAATAAGAGAGGTTTTTAATATAATCCACCATGTCCCTGCCAGTGCTCCTTGCCTGTTACGTCATCTTGCTTTGGGCCAAGCGTTTGTTTTCCCCAGATGGCCATTGCAAAGCTGCTGACAGCTCTTCTGACTGAGAAGCTGTGGCGCAGCAATCTTCCAATTCATTTAGCACTACTGACAAAGGAAAAGCTGTTGATATCCCGATGCGAAAGCACTTTATCAGGCATTACATAGTGTCTGTATTCTCAGCGTGTTTGGGGCATGATAAGTTATAGCACATGCTTTTTGACATTTTCCTGCCTTTCTCTGCAGTGTAGGATTCCTTGGAGTTGAAATTGAGGTGGCAGAAAAGATGTAAAACGCCAAGTGTGACATCATCAGCAACTGGTGGCGGTTGTGGAATCATAAATAATATTTTGTAGACTTGGATGAAAAATAAATCCCCTGAAAGATGTGCGCTGCGGTTCCGCTTGCCTAAACTTTTGCCCTTTTACGCGCCTGAGTTGTGTGGACTTTTGAAACCGATACCTACCAGACCTATTAGCATCTAGAGAAGCTGTTCTTATTCTGAGAGCACCAAAAGTGCTGGCAATGAGCAATAATTGCTTTCCATCCTGTTCTATTTTATCCATTGAGTACAGATGGGTTAGGAAAACATCTAAGTACTCCAATTTTTGTCACAGCCTCACTCCCAAATTAGTGGGATGGGAAGAGGAAAAGGCCCGCATGCTGCCCTGTGCAAGAGGGGCCTGGCTGACTGTAGGACACAGCGTGAGTTGCTCCACCTTGTCCTGCATGGCATGGTTGGGGCATTAGCAGTCCTTCTCTCAAGGGTGCACCGCAGGCCTCACCTTCCTACTGGGGGCAGCTGAAGCAATCTGCTCCACTTTATGAAAATCAGATGCAGCTGTCAGGCTCCTGGCAGCTTGTTAATGTAGCCTTTGCTGAGAAGGAGTTTGAATGCATCCAGTTTAGTGGTTTGCTGCCAATATTTATTTTATAACATAATTGTGTTTTTTCTTTAAAACAATCTACATGTTACATAATTTTCTCCAGGGTCCCACAAGCAAGTCTTTAGAAAGGTGAAATAAGTGCACTTTTTTTTTTTTTTCTCTAATTTGATCAGGTCCATTAACGTACTGACGGTGATTGTAATTAATTTAAGATAATTCCATTTGTCCTCTTTTACTGGCTGATTGAGCAGAAAATATCCAGGGCTGTTCAGGTGCTCCACAAAGGGTCAAGGAGTCACTCTGACACAAACAGTGAGTGGTCCTCCCTCTGGTAATCTGCCCACCGCAGTCATTAGGTAGTTTGAATTGTGGCCGTCAGCACCCGTAGCGGCTCTGAGTAAGCACAATTATTTCAACTGTGTTATTTCAAGTGGGATGAATCTCGCTGCCTGAGTTCAAATTGGGTTTAAAACATGAAACAAAAAAAAAAAAAAAAAAAGTAAAAAGTAACCCTTCCATTTCCTGATTCTCCAACTTCGCAAATACTCCTAGTTAATACTCCTAGTTTCTCCAGATCTCTAGATAAAGCTTCCATGGCTGAAAGTAAAAGATCCTTGAAGAAGATTTTTTTCAATTCAGAAACCATTGTGGTGGAGCTGGCATATTTTCTAGTTGTCAGGTAAAAAGGTTTGTAAACCTGTAGTATAGGCAGCAAGTCCAATTATTTAATTGTTTCCTCATAAATGGTGTTTTTTCCTTCACTCTTCAAAGAGTAGAGTATTTGCATTACAGCTTTTTTTTTTTTTTTTTTTTTTTTTTTTTTTTAGGAGAATGGATAGGATGATGATAGTATTTAAACAAGAAAGTAATTTAATAAATGAGATGCTAAATGCTTAGACAATTATAGGCAATAGTAAGGCCTAATAGTAGCATCCAAACGAAGATCTACAAAAAGTCTTTGCCAATGCTGAAGTAGGAAATGCAGCTCTGGAGCTCACTCTAGCTCCATACCTACTAAATATCCATTTCTTCTTCTCCTTATTTATCTTGTAATTTAGATTTTGGGGTTTTCTAGTGTATGGTATTCATCATTCAAATTCACTTTAAAACTCAGGGCAGTTGTACTTACAAGTATTTGTCAATATGTTCACATTTTTCTCTCTAACTGTCTCTTGCAGGGAGATTAGTAGGAGAATGATGGGATGAGTTTGTCATCCCTATTATATAAAATTGGAACTTCAACATATTACTATGTAAGTAAGCCCACAGAATAGCTGTAAACAGGCAAAATACGAAATATTGTTTGAATTCTGAAATCAAATGGTCCAACCGAAAAGAAAACATGTCAATTTTCTTGTTTTGTTTTGTCTTGTTTTCACTTATTCCTTTCTGCTTCCAAACTTGATTTACAGAAAAGTATGAGCAAACCACTTGCACAAACAAAACTGTTTCATGTAGGATGCATTGTATTTTTAGACTATGTTTCTAAAGAAATGTTTTTTCTTGAAATGCTTAAGAAAGCCAGCAATTGGTACACACAGCATTTACAATAAGTGAGGAGCTCTTTTTTCAAAACCATAACCAGATCCAGTAGACGCTGCTGGAAAAGATCTATGCAGAAGTTTTTCATGAAACTGCGGAAATACTTTTTTTTTTTTTTAACTTATTCTAATGGAACTCCCAATTTAGAACAGTGACCCATATGAGTGACCTTGGTCCTTAATTCCTCTCACATGATGTACATTGCAATGTCTTAATGTTGCATCTGAACCAAAAAAGTGTGAGCTTGAGATGTGTTACCTTCCAAAATTCATACTAATATAAGACTGAGAATATTTCAATTCATAGTATACCTTATTAAAACTGGAATCATTTTGGATGCGTAATCCTCTGGGAGCTAAAGTTCAGATTGTTTGTAACGTAAACCCTTTTATTTCACCTGGTAGCTTATATAAATGGATTGCAGAGAACAGCTGAAATGTTATGCGGAGCATTTGATTTCCAAGTTTGACACACGCTACCTGAAATTCCCAATGTTACATGAACATCATCTTTAACTCGTAAGTTTTGAATTTTGAAAAGTCTGTTGTTCCTGGGTGGTCACTACAGAGATAGCTTCAAGCATACAAAATATAAAAAGTATGCATGAAATATGCCAGTATATTAAATTAACATCCTGCAAAAGCTCCCTTTTTAAAATCCAGATGCTTATATTGCTTTTGACAGACTCTAGGCGGTAAAGTTCTAACTTTAAAGAAGGGGCTTTCTGTTTCTGTTTTCAAGTTAAAAATAATGAAAGGAAAACATACTGAAATTCCCACATTATTAAATAAAACATTTAAGTGGCATGGGGCCAATCATTGTCACGCCATGAACAAATGCCTTACGGTAATATGTTCCATAACTGTTTGCTAAAAACTACCAATTTTAACACATTTGCACATGATTAGACACAATAAAAAGTTACTTATTGAAGCCAGTGTCACAGTAGTGCTACTCAGGCCCTGGGGAGGGAAACCTCCCTGCAAACCTGAATAAGAGAGGTGGTGTGAAATAAGTTCCATGCTGTGCAAACAGAGCGTGAAGACAGTCCCCAAGTGATCAGCTTTGTTCCTGTGGTCAGGAGTTCACAGCGCTGACACTGTCTGCGTCACCAGAGAACAGGACCACAAGGACGTGTGATGGGGAGGACTGGGCTACGTGACTGACAGGCTCGAGCAACAGCTATCCAAGAGCTGCTTTCAAAACATCCTTTTAAAAGACCCCTCTTTATCAAGGACTAGCCCACCAAAGTGATGCATTTCAAAATGGTTTGAGTTTCCTGTTTTTCTTGTAAGATTTCTGTGTGCATTCTTGTTTTTTGTAATAACCATAGAATTATAGAATGGTTTGGGTTGGAACAGAACTTGGTTGTCAGCTAGCCCCAACCCCCTGCCATGTGCAGGGACACCATGTGCAGGGGTTTGCCCAAAGCCCCATCCAACCTGGTCTTGAACACCTCCAGAGATGGGGCATCCACAGCTCTGAGCAACCTGTTCCAGTGCCTCACCACCCTCTGAGTCAAGAATTTCTTCCTTTGATAATCAAGGAAAGAGCTTTATAGGCTTATGTCTTTAGCAGCTCACACATTAGCATTTATTTTTCTCACTGAACCTGACCAACCACGAAGTGGCCAACAAGAAACAGCTGTCTCTATTCTAATGGCAGAAGTTCAGCTATGCCACTTATGCTTTGCTGACTGAAGTAGTGGAATAGTGTTTTCATTATTTCAGACTAATTTATTCAAAGTATAATTCTGCATAAATACCCATTTAGATGTCAAATATTTTTGTTGAAACAAACACCAAAATTTACATTAGGCAATTCCCTTGTATCCAACCCACAGACCACTTGTGTTTTAGTTTTTTTCTTTTCAGGGCCTTTGGATTAAGAATCCATTGATGTCTTTCAGTTTTCCAGAAAGCATGGCACTTCACATCGTCCATGTTCATGTGAAGTGAGTTATCAAAGCAGGCCTGAATTAGTTAAAAGTAGGTGTAATCTCCACAAACATATGGGAGCCAGTAAGAAAAAAAAAAAAAAAAAGTCTTCAGGGGAATATTTTGAGTATAAGTTAATGGCAACATTAGCAGAGATAATTTTTGCTTTGCAGTATCTGCACATTTGGATTCACAAGGGAGTTTCTTCCTACTTGGGATTTTACACATCTATCAGCTATTGTGAATCTGAGAAGCCAATTGAAACATTATATGACTGTAAGATGCACCCTTGAGGGTTTTGGACCCATAAAGTAATTCATGCATTATAATCAGGGATAAACATTTCCTTCAAAAGAGAACCCCATGAATCCTCTGCTACCTCAGGGACTGAACCAAATTCATAAGATACCCAGGGTTATGATATATTTCATGGTGACCTTCTTACCTCCAGAAGGTGACAGAACTCTCCATCCCAGCTGCCTGCCACTTGCACTGCCTTTAATTTTTTCCCCAACCCTATCTTATGGGCTACTCAGAGCAGTCAAAACACTGCACAGGGAGAGCTGCTGGGGAGCAGAGGTGGGTGTGACATGCATGACCACAGCAAGAACAAGCAGAAGGTGAGTTGCAGGGCATGCCACTTGTGCCACCCAGCAAAATGAGTCAGCTGCTATTTGCATGCTCCCCTCTCTTCACTGAATGTGCTGGTGGGATTCATGCCTGGCAGTTTCTCCAGCACTCCTATCTTTCATAGAATAAGGTGCTCCCATTAATAAATTCCTCCTGCCAACTCCCAGGAATATATAGCAGAAGTGCTGTTACTGATACCTGTTAAGAGTCTAGAGTATGTGTTCAGCAGAGATGTTCTAGCCTGAGCACATACAACAAAAAATCCCCACCACCAACAAAATGTAAACAGAGCATTAACATTAAGAAAGATTAAATAAAACAGCCCTTCAGAGTGCTTCACAATTTTCTATGCTATGAAAAATACCTCCAGTCCAAAAGGAAATGAGCAGGCAATCTGAGCTCCATCTCCTAAACAATGTAGTAAGGGCAAGGCAGGTCTGGAGTCTTTACAGGACTTTTTGTATCTCACATTTTACACCACCACTATTTGTGTGTAAGAAACAGAGTGTTTGGATTCATCTGTTCTTAGGTGACAGAGGGGCTGAGGAGTCAATGTTTGATGTCAGGCGTATGAATAGCAGGTGTTTGCTTTCATTTCACAGGAGCTAGCCTCGCACTACAAAACTTCACAGAAAACACTTGACTGCTAGTGCCTCCTGGGTGAAGGCAGCATAACCCACGCCAGGACTGCACCCTGGGTTTTCACGGGTCGCTTTGTTTAAACCTAGCCAGGAAGGGGTTGGCCCAGGGGGCTTGAAGCTGAAGAGGAAAGGAATGGATGCTTTCCAAAACTGAGTGTGTGCAAACTCTTTCTCGGCATTAACTTTCCCCCTCCTGCTGTTTCTGTTTCAGTTGGCAGCAGGGAGAAGTGGAAGGAGGCATAACAAACCCCACTCCTTCCCCCTCGCTCTCCAGCAGTGCACTTATTTCATAGAGACTCACTTCTCTGTGAAAATGTGCTTCCCCCCTCGCCCACTATGATTCTCAAAAGGTCACACAGAGTGGGATAGCAGTGTTATCTTTATCCTATAGAAAGGGAACCTGAGGCAGTGGAAGGAAAAAGACCCACAATCATCCTAAAAGCTTGCCAGCTTGTCTGTTGTATGGAGACTCTTTTGGGGGGTAGTCCAAGCATGGCAGTGCGTGCTAAGGTGTGAATTTAGAGCTATATTTTCTTCAGGCTGTTATGAGACACGTACCTGGTTAAGTACCTACTTTACAGGGATTTCCCAAAGGATAGTATGGGACATTAAAAAACAGAAAGCTCTCCTACCGCAGAATGTAACCGTATATGACTTTAGTGGCTGAGGGGCACTTTGAAGGAGTGAGTGTCGCCAAAAGGAATTAACCAACAAAAGCGATCCCGTGTGTTTTCTGGTGGTGCCAGAAAGTGGAGAAAACTGGGTGTGAATATTTTATCCACAGCCCCACTCATCTACTTATCACTTCGAACAACTGAGTGGGCAACATATTGAAGGTGAAAGATGACATTATTAGATTGGAGCAGCTTACAAGGAACTGCTGTGTTTGTGTGAAACTTCTTTCAGCCCTCTGTTCCTTGAGGGGAAATTTCATTCCTGTTGAGGGGAACTCTTCCACAGGGCTCAGCAGTTGGCAGTCCTTTAAACCTCCAGCTGGGCCCTTACAGGTCTTTGGGAAACACTCTCCAGCATCTGGACTCTCTAAAGTTGTCCTGCTGGAAAGTGTTGTCAGGGGAATCTGCACTCCTTGCTTGTGGACTCCCAAGGAGGTATGGGGCCAACTCAGCCTAGCTGTAAGAGAAAACAAAGTTTTTTATTCATCTAGACTAAAAATCATGTTTGAAACAAAACTCCAGAAGCAAAACAAGAAATGAGTTATAGTCCTGGTAAGTTTACTAAATAGATAACCGTCCTTGTGCTTAAGCGTCTATATATATATATATATATATGTATGAGCACATCTAGCTAAAGGCTGAATATTAGCAGTGAGAAACAGTAAATGCAGTGACGGTTATGCATCTTAAAGAGGAAGGGACATAGGTGCTGTTGGCAGCCCTCTCAGAGCCCTCCTCACATCCATTTAATGATGGTATATCTGCACTGGTTGCTAATTATCTTCAGGGACCTTATCTTTAGGGAGATACTGCTACTGCTTGTGAAAGACAAGTGTGGAGATGAAATGAGATGAGATGTTGGGGTTATAGCATTAAGGCCATTATGTGATAGGAATTACAGCAACATTGAAATGTTTGTTATATTAAGGACAGATCAGTCCTTAGGAAACAGTCTAAGGGATGACTAAGAGTGAGGCATGACCCAGTCATAATGTCCTAGATGCTTAGTAACACTTCAGTGCTGGCTGAGACTTGCAGCTGAGATCTAAAAGGATACAACCTACAAGCAGTGTTGACAGTGAGAAAAAAATACAGATTCTAGTGTTGTTAATAGCTTTCTAGTTAGAAAAATTGACATTGCTAATGATTCATGAACTTCCAATTTCAGCCAATATGATCTGTGTTAGCAACAAAATTGGGACTAAATGATGTGAAGTGCCTCTTAGCCATTAATACTGTTCAAGGAAATTGGAGGGGAGTGAAAATACAAGATGGCATTATAATGGAGTAACATTAATGCAAGCCTTAAGCTACATTGTTCTTAAATACAGCAGACACAAAACAGACTTTAAACCATTTTCATATCTTGGCACTCTTGCCTCATTTTGGTGTTTACTAGCATAGGCGATGCATCCTCCCCATACAAATCAGGAAGATCATCTACGTTCATTACAACATCCAAGAGCCAGGTTGTTTGAAGTCTTGCATGGATTAAAAAAGGAGAAGCATCCTTCCCCTTTCATCCTGGGATCATCTGCAATGACTAGGCACTTTCAGTCAGTGTGAGTCTTTATGGGAAGGAACCTGACAAAATACTAGAGGCTTCCAAAAGATAAGAAGAGATGCCTTCCTCTTCTTTGCTTGGGCTTGCAGACTTTCTTTGGGTATAGCAGAAAGCACTCCTGGGGTAAGGTGTCCCCTCGTCCAGAGGTAACTTAATGCAAAATAGGGAATTACAGCAGACCCAGCAGGGATTGCAACATCTGCTCTACTCTGACACTCTCATTTAGGCTACCCTTAAATCTCCAGGTGCTCTTATATGTTTGACATTTCACAGACAGAATTTCCTTAGTTAAGATTTTTTTTTTCAATTTTTTTCAATTTTTTTCAATTTCAAATTTTTTTTTTCAATTTTTTTCAATTTCAAAATTGAGTGCTGATCATTTTCTCATAATCTTCTTCATAGAACTCTTTGGTCAAAACAGCTGAGGACTAAAATTATTTATATTCTGATTCGGTAAGATGTCAGCTTGCCATGGAGAACAGACAAAACATGAACTAAGCAGTGATTGTTGTTTAACTAAGAAATCGTGTGATGTGAAAGGCACTACTTAGGATTTGTGTGACTGTCATTTAGTTACTACATGAAAAATACAGAGAAAAATGTAATTTCAAATCAGTAGGAACAGCTGGAGTCAGAGGAGGGTTTCCTTTTAAAGAGCAATATTTGATATAGGTACTCGATATATATATTTATATGGGATAAGTAGGCTTGGTGAAATGGCTGTGAGGCCTTGTCTGGGGCCTTAAATAATCGGCCCAGCTTGGAAAAAACATTTGTGTTGTAGTGGGAGAGTGGCTGCCCTGAGACTTGCTCCCCTGTAGCCTATGAAGCAGAGATGCCTTTTAACACCTGAGGCTTTGGCTCTGAAGTAATTCTGATGCAGTAGGCTTGATGCACCTCTCTTCATTTAAGCTCTTTGGAACTCGAAGTGAAAATGTTGGTAGTATTTTGTAACCGCAGTGTGGATTTATTGAAGTCTGCATCATATCTTCCGCTGTCTGAAAAAAATTCAGATGGCAAAATGTGCGTTTAAGGCCTGTGCATTATTTTCTCAGTGAACTGTTATTTCTATAATGTTCTATGATTTTTACTCCTTAACTCATTTTGTTGATCGCAGAGTAGGTCTTTGCTCAATATAACCAAATTTATGTGAAACACTTGAAGAAATTCACTTTGATACTCTCCATCTTTCTCCAACAGCTCATTATAATTATAGATTATTATAGTCATACTTGATGCTTATGTATTTCATCTTAATTTTTTCCCAAATGCTGGAAGAAACATCAGCTGGTATTAGGTAACTTAACCTGATTCCAGTTGTCTTATTCATGCTGAGGAGCAATTTACTGTGGAAATAATTCCTGTTTTTATTAGGATTGTTTGTGAAGTTATAAATCTACAAAGCAGCATGTGGGGGGGAAACAAAACTGCACTTTGTCTGATCGATGTGCTCTGACATTTCCTCTTTGACACAGTCTGGCTGTACCCTGGGACCTCCAAGGGCCACCCTGTTCCAGATGTGCCCCTTGACCAGCCTCCAGCTCCCTGTTTGGACAAGGCTCTGATGGAAAGTGTGGCTTTTCCCTCCCCCCTTTCCATGGGAAGAAAACCAGGCGAATAGGCTGGAAGAAAGAGAGCCACGTCATGCTCCAGCTGAGCCCTCAGACCAGGTAACTGGAGTAACATTGTCATAAGAGGCTTGTCTGCTGCCCAGGGATAGCCCAAATGCTGCCTCTTAACTGAAGTCTGTGGATGTTTCCTAAAGTATGCTCTAAGGACAGCTTCTGTGTGAAAGCTATGCCAAAACCAGGTATTTGTTTTTAAAGGTCTCAGTTCCTCATGGCCATGTTTAAGGTTTCAGCAGCAGTGAGCTCTGAGAAGTCAGATGGGGAGTGCTCAAAACTTGTGAAGAAGTTACCTTGTTCTGAATACTCATGCAAAGGGGCATGTAAAACAGTGGTGGTTTTGGGAAGTATGGCTCTGTTTCGAGCAGAACAGTCAAGCTGTAACCAGACACTATCAATCATGCTCTACTTTTGGGGAGGACTAATACTCCTAATCTTTCTGGTTGCCTCAGAAGTTTATATAAGAAGGAGCTTATTTTTCTCCTTTTCTGTTTTCTGCAATAATGTCAACCTCCTCTCTGCTCTGTGTACACAAAGCGTGTGATTACTTTGAGGGAGATTGTTGGAGGGAAGGGGAAGGAACTAGAGCAAGAAAATGCTTATGAGAATGATGTAGGAGCTTGATTTCCAAATGAACAGCAAGATATACTAATCAGCTCTGAGGACAAGACTCCCACTGCCTCCAGCTTGCTTGTTAGCAAGGACTGTGTCTGCTTCTCCCTGAGCTGATAAAGTCTGGTTCTTGATAGGTTCAGAAGAAGCCCAAGAACTTCCTTGCTGTGAAGTTTTCCACCTTCAAATCTTGGTTTGTTTTCTTTAGATTAGGAAGAAGTGAATAAAAAAAAAAAAAAAAAAGAAATGAAAAATATAATCTCCTCTTCATTATGCCTTAACAAATCATTTTGAAATATCACTTACTTGGAGATGTTCCTGATGTAAAATAATTCATTTGAATCCTTCAGAATTTCTCTACCTTTGATTTTCCATTTTTCAAATTATACGAGTGCTAAGAGCACAACTGTAGTCTTCTTGAGGGGAAAAAAAAAAAAAAAAAAAAAAGCCATACGAAACTTTTTTTCCCTCCCCTGCAAATAGAACATTCAAATTTCTCAATCACCTGTTCTGACCTGATATTGATTTCCTTCAGTATTTCTTCTTCCTCCTTAGGGAAATAAATCTGTTTCTGGTATCTATCAGCCATTCTTCCCTTTGATAAAAAGAATTCATATAATTCTTAAGTAATGCTAAATCTTCTGTCAACAAATTAGTCTTGTCATCAGCCATAAGGGGCCTCATGATCTTCTTGGTGACCTCTTGCTTCTAAAATACCTGGGAAAAAATCCATGCTTATTAACGTGTGTCTATTCTTGTAGTGTTTGTACTTTTATTTACAACTTTTTATGGTGTTGAGAAGCAAACTGACTAGATTTTTTTTTCTTAGAAGAAAACTGAGAACTATAAAAATATCCTGTTTATGAGTATGATGTGAGATGTTTCAGACAGAGAATGAATATGTGTGTAAGGTTAATTCAATATATGCAGGCTAATTCAGTAAAATCAATAATTTAGTGGTTAGAGTGCTAGCTGGAGATCTGTGGGTTTTATGGGATCTGGGACCAAGTTTCTGCCTTCGTCCCATTCCAAATAAATAGCAAAAAATCTCTAGATAATATAATCAGCCTTTTTTTTTTTTTTTTTTTTTTTTTTTTTTTTCTGGTCAAATAAATACATATACAAAGATGATCACCACTATAGAGGGAAGTTGGGGCTAAAACCATCTGTATGTATGACCCAAGAGTTGGGTTATTGACTGTTCTTTCTACCGGCTTTGACCAATAATTTAATCCAGAATTGTTTTTACATAATAAAAAGATTTTGACACTTTCCCCTTCCCTCGGGGGTGGGGGGGGGAGTTTAATTGAAAATTGAAAAATGTACCTTTTTTTCCTCTCTCCCCCTGCCCCAAGACATCACTGGAAATTTTGTTCAGTGGATTCAGGATTTCAGTTTTATTGTTTAAGATCTCGCTACTCCAAGCTGCTTTGCATGGCTGGGGGCATAAACACAAATAATCTCCATGACTGGAGCAATAGTCTTTTCATTTATTACACTTAAAGGATGTGTTCTCATGTTAGCTCTAATTACATTTTCCCTTTTTTTTTTTCTTTTCTCTATGATTTCACATATACTTAACTGCTATTCCATACACCTTTCAAACTCTGTCATGTTTTAAACATGATCATGTTGTTTACATTATTTTCATCTCTCTTATTATTTTTAACATTGTTTGTCATTTTTCACCAATATATTTTCCATGAAAGTACTGTTTGCTTGTAGCTAACATTTAACTGGAACTGTCATACTTAATGCTTTTGTAATCTCTGGATGCACTGTATTGGCCTGAAGCTGCTTAAACCTAGGCCTTATGCTGTTGTAAGAGTACTTCTGTCAGGTTTTCCAGATTGTCAGTGGTGTGGGTTTGCAGATTTACCTCTTTGTCTCCAGCCTGTGTCCAACTGATTCTTAAAAACTCTGTCAAAAATTGCTATCATTTCACAAATTATAAAAGAAAGCACAGCTCTATACCATGTGCTCAAAGCTATTGCTTGATTTATTTCTTCCACTTAATATGCCCCAGATTATATCCAGTACTTGAATACTCCCATTTCTACTTAGGTTTCTGTCTCCTTTCAAACCCATATTACTTTATCGCTGCCTCCTGCTCAGTTCCGTACCATCTTACTTCCTTTAACTTGGGTTTTGAACCTTGATAATTGCAACCAACTGGTAAAGTCTCCTGGGGTTCCTGTCTCAGTAAATTTTACTGCCATTTAGCACCTGGACACATTCTCAGCCTTACCCACTCCTTGGATAGTAGTGCTGTGCACAAGGGAGATTTGAAGGAGCAGGATGGGGAAGTAACTACTGCACTTTGCTGTCTCTTGGCCTGGGAGATATCATAAACAAAATTAAACGCAAAGCAATTGCATTTTGTTATTCATATACAGTATCAAACACAGACCTGAAAGCTTTGTTTTGTTTTGTTTTGTTTTGCTTTGTTTTGTTTTATTAGGAATTTCCTCTTTTCTGAAATCACTGTGTTGGCAAGTTCAGTTTCCCTGGGTTTTGTCCCAAACAAGTGATGGGCTTCTATCGGTGTTTGGAGAGCAAGTTGTCTCTTTTACAGTGTGTTCTCTGATGGGACTTCCTCTGCTGAAAATGAAAAAGGTTTTCATGCAGGGATATGAAAAACACTATTCAGTCCTACCTCCAGAGAACTTGGCCACAATTTTCCAAAGTTAATTAAGACCTATTTTTAGATAACTAGAATGATTTAACATTAAAAGTCTCAACTTTCAAAAACTGCTGAACAGGTTTTATTTTTTTTTTTTCTTATAAAGGTAATGATCTTATATTTTGATGTGAATTAGAACTATTGATGTTCAGCACTTCTAAAAAAGTATGGCTTACTTTATCTTACAAACCTCCACTATTTCTGCTTCTTTTTTCCACCTGAAATCCACTCTCAGGCACAGAATCATTGTCACTGATGTACAGACTACACTGAATCAGTCATCTGCCTATCTGTGTATTATACCTCTTCTTGTGCTTTTTTTAGCTCTAACTACAAGATTCAACCAGACATATTTATTCTTCTCCTATAAATAACTAAATTGGAAAAGCAGCAGCTAAAGAGCTGTGACTTCAATTTTAATAGTATCATCCGTGTTGATTTAAAGTGTGTGATACATCCATCAAGTAACTGGCTTGTATGCAAGCATGAACAATTTCTTTAAATACTATTTCACAGTTGTGCTGCCTGAAAAAAAAAAATATATATATATACATATAATATATATAATAAATATATATTTATATTTATATTTATATTTATATCTGTGAATCACAACATATGCTTTCAGATGTGTTTGAAAGTTTACATTAGCTGTAGCTAATAAGTGTAAAATACAAATCCTATCTCATTAACTTTGGCTGTGCATGAAAACTTCAGTATTAAATACTTGTCTTTTCCTGCCACGATTCCTGGTTGTGATGTCATAAGCATGAGCTGGACATGACAGGGAATTTAGACCTCAAATTTAAATTCTCTGAAGATAATTTTGTTCTATTTCTCCCTGCCTCCCTTTCTCCTTCTCTCTCTCTCTCTTTCTCTCTCTGTATTTGTTTGTTTGTTTGCTTGTTTTGTTTGTTTGTTTGTTTTCCATTTTCCATTAAAATATGCCCCATGGTCCCTGGCAACTGAGGCACAAGTAAGAAGTGAAATCAGGTGCAGGAAATCTGCAATGAAGGTCTACAGCTTCAAAAAGCAAATACTTGCCAATGAAGGAAGAAAGCTGTTGGAAAGTAAAACAGAACACGTCCTGTAGAGCCAGTGGTACTCACTTAGACTCTTGTCCTCCCCTCCCTCCCAAGATTCCTGAGCACAAGAACAAATCAAAATTGATAGCAGGCGTAGTGAAGAATAGTGTGTCTTCTCCAGTGCTGACCACTCTGATAACACCTGTCAGGATGAAAAACCTGAGGGATTTGACTGAAGGGGACAGGCTGGAAATGTCTCATGTGGAAGACCAAGAGCCATGGCAGAGCCTCTCTCCCGAGAGCTCTTACCATCTACACCGTTCTCATGATGAGAAAGTCCTCCAGCCATCTGCAGAGAAAAGAGCAAGCCGACACGTGTGGAGGAGACTGCCACTCTGAGCACTATGCAAAGACTGTGCTCTCAAAGCTGGCCTTGCAGACATGCTTGTGAGAGGAGAGGCATTTCCGAACTTGCAGTGAGTGCATTTTGGATGGTGGAAGCTTTCCCCACTGCTATGGCTTTTGCCAAGCAGCTCAGAATTGCTCAAAGAGCAGTCAGTGTTGCAGACAGAAGAGAACTGTAGGCATGTTTCTGAAGGACTTTCTGAAGGTGTCCGGTACAGATAAAGCAACTTCTGCTCAGGCATAATTCATATAGAGGCATGCTGGAAGGGTACATATGATTCAGGTGATGCAAAGCTGCACTATTGCCACCAGAAAGCTAATCTAGGTGTGGGTTTAGTGTAATATGAGCCAGCAAAAGACAATTTCCCTAATGAAATCCTCTGGAAGGGAGAGCTCACTCAACACAAAACAGTGTTTATATTCTGCTGTTCTAGTCTAGTCTGGAGGGTAATTACATTTTATGGGGTTAACATGTATCAAGGATCTCATTGAAGGTCCAATAACAGTGTTTACAGCTGTCAACTGTATTGACTGAAAGCACTGATTGCCATCTCCAGCACTACCAAGCCACTCAGGGTCTCCACTCAAATCATTATGGACAATGAACATAATAGTCACGAGCTCTTGGGGGCTTCCTGTTGGAGAAGGGGCATTTTTAGCTTCTTTTCAAACTAATTAGCCTTAGACCTGTGGCTTGGGTATGGGCCTCAGGAACTCTTTTGGTTAACATTTTCTGTCTTGTCCACAACAGAGTTAAGTGCTATGAACATCCTTTCAGAGAAATAATATTTTGAAACCACATGAATGTTTACCCAGAGCAAGAGGAAGGGGTGCAAACATTGTAAAGGGAGTTTGTGATTCCTGTGCTGTTGCTTTCTGAAAGGCTGTTCTTGGATTTTGCTGTATTTGCCCAGCTCCGATTATGCTTTAATATTTCAGTGTGGAGAAAATAAGTCTCTAATGTAAGAATGCAGCACTCAAGTGCTCTTTTCTCAACATTTATATATATATATGTGTGTGTGTAAAATAAATGAAACCCTAGTTTATATTAAGGGAAAAGATATTCTTGGCAACGTAAATTGGGAAGTAACTGGGGGAAAATGGCTCTCTTTAAGAAAAGTAAGCAAAGTAGGTGCAAGCAGTGACTTTAAATTGGACATTAAACTAATCCAGGGCTATACTTTAATAAAGGCTAGTGCTGGGAATTCTTATGGATTTTCTAGCTCATTGCTGGGATGACAGAGAAATACAATAAATGTTCTATTACTTACACAAGCTGCTGGTTTTCAGAAAATTAGTCACCAGTGACCTTTTACCCTTTGTCTTGCTCTCTTTCTCAGTAAAAGTACCTGATCAGAATCAAATGCAGCCCTGGTCCATGATGGCATTCCTCCGGGCTGCACGGGGCTATGCACAATCAGTGTGAGTAAGACTCTTAGCGTGGCATCAGACTAGCTTATTTTTCTCATTGTGTAACTGTAATATTGGGGTTGCAGACGGGAAGGGGGGGGAAAGAGGAAGAAAATCACCTTTTCATCATTGATTTTAACTGTAGAAGAAATCAAAGGCAAAATTCTAAATTTCTTACTAAGGAATGAAAGCCCAAACTGTAAAACATAACCAATCAGACTGCTCAGAATTAACATCTGAGAACCGTGATATGGCTTGGTGAAATCCTGAGCCGCGCAAAGCTTTTTATTTGGTTGATATTTTTTCTTCTTTTCCTGAGTATCAAAATGTGATGTTTATAATCCCTGCAATGAGGCAGAGACTTTCGGTGAGGGGGAGGGGACTATATTACTTGGTGTGTACCAGCCCTTTGGTAGAATTATATTGATTAGTTTTCCAGTTAGCTGTGAGACCTCCTTCTGACCCTATTTTCAGGGTCAGTAGATCATAATGCAGAAGTGCTAAGAGACCAGTATCCCTCCCCATATTGCTTTTTGAAGAGTGTATGGACCAGAAAATCATGTTATATATATAGATATAATGTATATACATGTATAATGTATATATGTACAAAAAGAGTGGGGCTGGACCTGCAAATGCAGGTAGAAGTTACATGTCAATTATAATAACATTTCGCTGTGGAAAGGAAATTCATCCAGCTTCTACTATAAAGCTTTAAAACTGACATTTGTCCTAAGCCTTGGTTTGTTGTTTTCTTTTTTGTTTGTTTGTTTGTTTTTGTTGTTTGTTTGTTTGTTTTAAATAGAATAGAAATACTTTGGGATTCAGCACAGTGAGGATGGGCATGCCTTTGTGAAAAAGAAACATGCACCTGTATTTGAAATTTAACTATTTTTCTGAGATCATTAGTTTGAGAACTATCAGACAAGAACAAGGAAAACAGGGTTACGGAGCTCATCCCCATTCTCTGAGGATGTCCCACAAGCAATCTGTTGACTTCTGTCTTGTATTGTATGTCATCCATACATCCCCCTAATTAAACAAGAAATCATTTGTCAAAACTTGCTGCACTTTTCATATCCAACATTTTCCATGGCAGGTGTGTAACAGACAAAGAACAAGGACAACATGAAATACCTAAAGAATGCTTTTAGTTGCTATTTTTACTTGCTATTTGAAGCTTACAGTTGAAATCCTTGGTCCTGTAAAAGGATAAGGACTGGAGTCAAGGACTCAAATATCCTCACCCTAACACCAGGACCCTCCAGAATGCTTTTGAACTCCGGTGCTCTCCGAGTGTGCTGTAACTGTAGGAGACAGCTCTAGTGGTCCGGTAAGAGCCAGGCTGCTCTTTTCGTATTAAGGAAAAGGAGCTTGACTTCTAGCAGCTGCTGCCCCTGGTTTTCTGCATCTCCTTAATTGAAATCCAGACCACAAGGAGCTAATTAATATATTCCATGTTACTCATGAAATCCCCATCTGGGGAAAAAAAAAAGAGAAAAAAAAAAAAAAAGAGTGAGGCGATGTGTTACAGGCCAACAGATTGTCCCTCTCCTTTTCCCCAGCATGGGCTCAACAGGTCTTGCAGAGAGCATGCCAACATCACAACATGTCCACTGCTATTAGTGAATAGATACTGCTCTTACGTCGGCTTTTCAGTTGTGTTCAGATTTTAGTGTTGGCTGATGGAGATGGCAAAGGCTGCATCCGTGCAACATCTCTCTTCTCCCTTACCTCATATTCACACAGGTTTATGATGTTGGCTACCTATAGAGATATGATTCCACATTTAGTTATCATGTCAATATCGCACAGAATTTGAACACCTTTCTTTGTTAAATATATGTATTTTAACTGTAAAATATTTATAAACTCACACTTAAATGACGAAGATTATCTTCTCCACTTGCTTCTCTGCTGAAACAAAGGCACTTTCTTTTTCCTACTAGTATCTTTACATACCTGTTTTCTTCAGGAAAATTTTCCAGGATTCCTAAAGTTTCCGAGTAATGGCTAAACAATTGTCATCATGGCCTCCCTGCACCTGCGTGCTAATCAGATCAAATAACTTCCAGAGAGAGTCAGATTCGTAACAGAAGTGAGCTGACTCCGAAGGACTTGGGTGCCGTAGCGAGCAGCTGGTCCTTCTCCAAATATTCTGGAGCACAGGTATCACAGAGCAGGCTGTCATTACATCCAGCACGTGTGCCGTCAGTGTTGAAAACAGGCAAACAGCTGTTAGGTGGATAAGAGTAACCATATTCCCTGCAAACACACTGCTTCATTTCTTCACCAGTTGGTACTCAAGGGACCCTTTCCTGTTGTGATGGTCGATAGCCCTCAGTGTGTCAAAGGGTGTGTTTATGTCACTAGTCACTTGCAAAAACTACATGATTTTCTGATGGGTTTTGCTACTACATTTTTCTCTGTGAGGAACATGCATAAATATTAATGAAAATATTACTAATTTACCTTTTTGCTCCCTTTCTTCTAGCAGTAAGAAATTATTTTGAATGGCCTTGGCACATTATATCAATTTGATTGCAAAATTTTGGATTACTGCCTCTTTTACCAAACATTTTTCTTTTCTCTCCTTTATTTTTTTTTTTTTTTTTCACTCAGTTGCTATCAAGTAGTGACCACATTAGAGGAAGTTGCAGGGCCCTGGCACCCTTGGGTTGGGTGACACTTTCTGTTTCGTAGCTGTGTCATCTGTGCTCTCCACTCAGCAGGCACAGCTGGGTAGGTGCTTCTGGTTACTACCTCAGAGTGTGTGAAATCAGAAATCCATGTGAGGCTCACCTAATAAAAAGACAAGGTACCAATCACCTTAATAGGCAACTATACAAGCAGTCATGTTCCTTACCTGCTTCAGGTGAATTGTCTCACTTGACTTCAGTTCATCGTACTCTTATTGTGAGCCTTCCTGGAGGTTCAGCTGACTTTGCTAATCATTTATCTTAAAATCAACAGTGGCTTTACTTTTTCACCTTCAGCAAATACTCTTTTTTAGGGGCTATATTTATGTTAGTAAGGCTGTAAAGAAGGATAAATGAATTATGAAAATTGCAAACATTTTTGTTTTCTTTTAAGGGAAAATACGTTTTGTTTAATTTTGCCACTCACCACCTCCAAATAAAAGACTGAGAGGGTACTATCCAACCTCCTTATCTTACTTTGCTATAGCTCTTTTTCACACTTCTGCAGGGCAGTTATGACAAATTTGAGAAACAGGAGCATGACTAAGAAACAGGTAACCATCAGTAACAGAGGGAAGATGTAAGCAACTGAAGATGGCCACTCCAGCCTCAATTACATTTCTGCTGCACATCAGCTACTTAACACACCATCCCACATCATTTCTTACCTGCAGATCAGGAGCCTAATAGCATCCTGCTACAGGTCTAAGACAAAAATTTAGCCTTGCTGACATATATTCTTCCTAATGTTTCTTTGCTGCTAGCAGAGGGTAATCCCAAGTAGAAGTCTGGACATTTCAATGTCTCTTTGGAGAAGCCCCTCCAGGTCCAACATTCATATTGGAAACCGAGCTCTTTGGGCAAAAATTTACCTTTTTGATTAATTTTTACTCTGTGGAAATTTAAGATGAAAAGTATTCTTTGTTTCTACAGTTTACCCTGGAACATTTTCTTGCTTTAATTCAACTATTGGAATTTAATAATTGCGATCTGAAAAAGTGGGTATAGTTGCTTCTGTGTGAGGAAAGTCTTTTTATCATAAATTCCCAGTAACAACTTCTTTCTTCACCTTTCTCTGTTCTCTAACTCTGTAGATAATAGAGTGGCAATTATGGTTATTTAGGACCTAAGCCTGAAAACCCTTAATCATGTGGATATTCATTGCTCCCATGGTCTACCTATTCCATTGATCGTGCTAGTTTATTTTTGGTAGGATCAAGTGAGCGATTATAAAACAAGTAAAAACCACAGAAAGGTGACAGAGTCAATTTAGAGTACAGAGCAGCGCTTACATCCTGCTGCTCATGGATGCTACCCCACATAAGAGACACTCAATCATAGTTGTTAAAAGGCATTAGTCCTTTGGAGGAGCTGGTGGGGATGCCTGGGACCACTCCTGGGCTGCTCCGGCTGTGGGGTTTGGGGCTGTCTGCTGGCCCTGCCTTGTGCAAGGCAGATGAAAGGAGGTGGCATGCTAGTGTGCAGACCAAGCAGGATCAGGAATGGGTCCCAGCCAAAAAAAGTAAGGATTTGAACCTAAATCACAATCCAAACTTTCCCAACGGGAGTGTTTAGATTCAGGGCCATCTCCTGAAATAAATAATGAATAAATAAGGTCCCGTATAGATTTCTAACCATGTCACTTTATTAACACTATAGATTTTTCAAACGCGGAGGGGCTGTAAGAATTGCATATACATTTCATTAGTAGGGAATTTATGGCTACAAGATTGCACTTAAGGTTTGTGCTAACGCTTTATGCACCCTTTTGACCCAGTCCCTTTACTATATTCTGCCCCAATATTATTTTTCATAAGTCAGGAAACGTTTTCCATATGTTTTGCAGCATTATCCAAAGGGAGTTTGCAGCTGTACTGTTCATACTTTATCATGTTCATACTGACTGAAGTGCAGACCCCTCCTAGTGACAGTACCCATCTGAAAGATCATAACAACGCATTTTTGGCACATTATTGTTCTCCTTTTGTGTCAAGCCTCCCCCACGGAACAAAATTGTTTCACAGTTTTTATTAAAATTTACTATAAATGAACAGCTGAAAAAATAAACAGAAAAGTCTGTGTGTATCTTATTTACTGTCATCACAAAAAGAATATCTGTGCTGGAACATTATAACATAGCCTAACAGCCAAAACTAACTTACAGAAATAAGCAGAGACATTAGAGAGGTTGAAGGCCACAGGAGTTCATTATTTTCAGTAAGCTTAAAAGGCAACAGAGGGGGTGGGGAAGAAGGAGGGGGAAAAAAAAGCAAAAGAAAAGTTATGAAGGTACATGGGAGCCAGGGAACTGCGGGAGGGGAGGGCTGAAGTAGGAACTTCTGTGGCACAGGGCAAAAAAGGGATGAATGCACCAGTGCCGTAGTTGCCATGTCTTTCTACCAGCAAGTTAGTTTTCTTGTGGAAAAATACATTGACCCAAGAAGCTCTAAATAAAAACAGGTCCATGAGTTATTTCAGCTGATTTTAGCCCTCCACTGTTTGATCGTAACATCTGAGCTCTGATATCCCCCATTATTCTGTAGAAGACATGAGTATGCTCCTATAATTATGGCTTTCAGGAACTGAGTTTAGACTGAAAATGCACTTTTTTTTTTTTTTTAGGAGAATTTTACAGCCATGATGTGGGCCAAGCTGGGATGTGGTCTGAGAAGCTGGACCTCCGGTGACGTCTTCTTGTGCCTCTCTGTGCTTGTGCGTGCTTTCAGCGGGTCTGAATCTGATCTGCTCGATGCGCTTCAGTGGAAAGAGATTTCTAATAGTAACTGGAAGCAGATATAGCCAAGGAATCAGTTTTAGTAAATCCCACTGAACTCTGTCATGGCAGAGAGACAGTATAAATGCTCCCCATGAGTCTGCTAATGAAATGCCTGGCAAAGCCAAAAAGGGCAAAGAAAAAATAGAAATCACAGCTGCAATATCAGCTTGAATAATAGAGCTAGGAACGGGAGAATAATAAAAGATGAGCAAGAGGTCAGAAATAACACAATATGAAGGCAAAAGGAAGGAGAGGAATGCTTTCCAAAAAGTGAGGCAGAGTAGAAAAGAAGTGTTCCAGGTCCTGTGAAATGCTGATGTGAAATGATTTAGAAGAGGAAAACTGAAAAATACTATGAAGGCAAAAAATAATTAATTATATGAATTTCACGAGCTGAAATTTTTCACCCTTCTCAGCTTCTTGTTGGGAATATTCCCCATAGAGTCTGTGCTAGAGGCCAGGTATTCAGTGACAAGTCTCTAAAACGGGCCTGAAAATGGACACTTATTTGTTGTACAAAGTACTCTTTTGAATGTTCAATCACCTTCTTTTTTTTTTCTTTTTTTTTTTTTTTCTTCTGTTTAGAAATTTTGGCACACAACTTCTAATTTACTCAAGCCATAATCTACTTCCTAGAAAATAACTGGCTAAGTTCATTTTAGGGATCTTATTCATCACTTAATGTAAAGGCAAAGGAGCGGCATCGGGCACCCCTTTCCAGCGTGATGTGGAAGTACAAACCTCAGGAAAGGCACAGGCTGGGGCAGTTTCTTCCCTGAGTTCCATCTGCATAAAGGACAATTAATTAATACAGGTGTTATTCTGGGGATTCAGATTATTATTATTAATAATAATAATAATAATAAACATCCAGTAGGAAGTAACCCAGAGCCGGAGAATGAACACAGGTACATGATGCCCAGCTTCAGAGAAAGGAAAATTGTCTGTCCCATATGATCAACATTCTCTGACTTTGCTGGATTTCTGGAAATCAGTGGATCTTTGTCTTTCCTATCTTCTGTGCTTCTAAGCACTAAATCAGATGTTAGCTGCTCAGAGACATTGCATTGCTGCATAAAGACTCGTAGCATATTCCTGTAAAGGCATATTCCAGAACAAGTAAAATGAAAATGGCTTTTTGTTGTTGTTAAAAGTCTGCAGTCCCTGTGGAAATTATTTGCTTCAAAGACAACAGTGTAAATAAACTTCCTTCACAATAAACTTCAAAGATAACAGTAAGATGTATGGTGAAGTGAAGGGAATAAGCCTTGTAAAAAATGTTTCTCAAGTAAGCTAACAGTTTGGATGTTTCTCATCTTCATCTAATCGTTTCCTCATTTTTAATCCACAATTATAACACAGGTTTATTTGCTTGGGAGGGTCAAAAGCCTAGAACACTAATACTTTAACGTTTTAAAGTATTATTTTAACCTTGCAATTTGATTTTATTAAGTTATTCTTGAAGCATTCACATTTTTATTAAGAATAGACTAATAAAGACCATCAAGGAAAAGAAAGAGAAGGCACTTTTAGAGGTAGAAAGCTTCCAGGTTTGAGACTTAAAACAAAAAGCCATACAAAATACTTTATAAGTATCGATATTGAAATATATGGTTTCTAATAGTATCTTAACATGATTCGTTATTCAAACAAATTGATTTGGCACAACAAAGTTCTCAACTTTAAACTAAATTCATCTGCAGGTACTTCCTCCGTGGTGTGAGCGGGATGTATAGGCACGGCTCTGTCAGACATCCTCTACATGCTGCAATTCTTGAATTAAAAAAAATAAATGAAATCCAAAATTCTGCCATGGTGCCATGTGAACAAGTACATAAAGACATAGTCACAGCTATACCTGCCTTCTCAGACGTGGACATGGCTTTGAGCTGCTCTCAATTTGGAGGTTCTTCTGGCTATGTGCTGGCGTTCGAGACCCATTTGCTTTTCCCCGTTTAAATCTGAATGTTTTCACACTGCTGATGGGATTGGATGTACAGTCCTCCTGGCAGCCTGCCTGTTACCTGCCTGTATGTTTGTGCAAATTAAAAACCAGTCATGACATACTGGCTGATAATATTATCTCCTCAGCCTTGGGGAAACAGCTGGGGAAGGAAAACCGGTTAAAACAGAAATGTCTTGTTATTAAGATAGCTATTTCTGGAAACAGCGGGGCAGGGGGGGCTCCTGGTGTAGGTAAATGCCACATGATTCCAACAGAGATGAAGAAAAAAACTGTGAAATGACTGTTTCAGGTAACAGCAACTGCCATTAGTGTTACACTGTATTACACATCCTTTTCCACAGGGAATGCACTGTTCTCTTGCACCTTGTTACCTATGAATATTCTTTTAATGCCAGACAGCTACAGATATGTATTTTGGGGAAAGCCACTAATTATGTTGAGGAAGAAAGAAAACTTGCCCTTTAGGTATATTTGCATACTCTTTATTATGAGCCCTCTTATGTAATTAGTGCAAATTGCCAAGTTTTTGCTCTATACAGCTAAGGTAAATTTTTGGAACATGGACTAAAACTCCTGTGATGTTTCTCTTACCTACTGTGGTGCTTTCCAGCTGAATATGTCTGTATTGGCTTTTTCTTTTCCTTTTGTTTTCTCTCTTTTTGTAATAGTAAGAACTGATGTAGAAAAGCTTCATTTCCTACTATATGAATAAACTGCAAAACTCATAGGTGCAAAGCTAGGCTACCACACATACCTGTGTCTGTTCTCTCTTACCTTACTACAGTGTCCTGTGCTTTTCTCTACCTCTCAGTATAAATGCTTGCACATATAAAAACATTAATGTACCTATAAAACACTGATACGTTGTATTCAACTTTGAATGCTATCAAAGTTTAAATCTCGGTAAAGTGCTTTAAAATCAGATCATCATGCCTTTCAAGGAGCTTTGCCAAGCCAGGTCTTGGCATTTTGTCTCCCCTGTAACAACAACCACGTGGCTTTCAGTGGTCCATGCCGCTGGGTGCCTGCAGGCGCAGTCCCACCACGATGCAGCAGCGAGATGCTCAAAGAGCACAAGTCACTGCCCAGATATGCTGCTTCTACACCTGAAAATAAATAAATAAATAAATAAATAAGCCTTTAAAACAATGATTTTCAGAGAGCTTTCCTACTGTTTAAAAGGCTCCTACTGTTTAAATGGGGTGTGGGGGGAAAGTAGGTATTCTTATACATTAATATATTATGTGGGTGACTTGCAGACAGAGCTGTAGGTTTTGTGGTAACCTCCAAGCAGGTTATCAGAGAGATGATGTACCACCATTGGTGTTAGGTCCGTACCGGTTTTTAAAGGTCTGAGTAGATAGTCTTTAGACAATGATTAGGTACAGAAACCTTGCTTTTGAATGTTTAGCATGTAATGAAAATGGGATAAAAATGGAAAGGTAAAATTGCCCAGAAGTCTTGATCCAAAAAAGAAACAAAAAAAAATGTCTATTTAGTGGCTATGAGTCAATGCACGGTGTATGAACAAATACGTAAAATACATATATTAGATAAAAGATATCTGACAGGGTTCTGAGGCTCAGACTCTAAATAATAAGCTGAAAGCAAATACAATATCTGATCCAAGAAAAATATTTTTCATAACTTTGAAGTGAATCATTTTAAAATTAAGAAACAAAAACCTAGAACCTTCTGTTTTTAAGTTAGATAATTAAATACCCAATCAATGACAATTATTGGAAAACTATTTGGTATTTTATTATCTTTGCCTGACTGATCTGTATTATGGAATACCATGAAAATTGTGATTCCTTTTTTGATAGATGGAGACTGCTTTTAACATGTATTAAAGAGTACTTTATATATAATATAAACATATCTAAAAGCAGTCAGAACAGTAAGAAAAAAATACAATTAACTGTCTCAGTGAACAGAATACACCTGTAAGTGAATCACAGGTGAAAACTTTAGGCAGTGCCTTGAAAGCTTACATGAAGGTCACAGGTTACATGTCAGATGTTTCTGAAAGCAACTAAAGACAGAGCTGTTTGTTTATTTATTTGTTTTTCAATCTAATGGGTTTATTTTAAGAAGGGAAAAAGCTGGAATTCTTTATTTAATTAAAAGCCTAATATCATAGACTTCATGACCTCATTACTAGCCTGGAGGTCCTTTACACAGTGCCAGGGACAACATACACGTATAAAAACAACCATTTTACAGATGAGAATGAGACAGAAGAAAAGAAGCTTGTTATATGTATGAGAATTTGTCAGCCTTCTCCGATACTCTCTTTCAACTACTTTCACCTAATCTCTGCCAGTGGAGAGTGAAGCTGGTATGAGAAGACAGGGAATAGGAGATGAGAGCAGCTGGAGAGTAGCTTTGCTTTTTTTGCTCGATGTGCAATGGAATCATCAGAGATGGTTTTTCAGGGTGCTGGTTTAACCAAACCTTGAAAAATCCATCTCTTTATCTGAATCACATACAGTGTAATTTCACAAGCTTCCAATGCCTTTTTCCTGTCTACTGGCAGAAAAAAAGAAAAAGGAAAAAAAAAAAGAAAAAAAAAAAGGAACTTCATCATTCTCATAATAATAACCATTCAATTGTTATTGTTTGTTTGTTTGTTTTGTTTATTTGTTTGTTTGTTTTTTCCCTATCAATAACAAGACTAAGGGAAGATCATGACAGTAGTGTTTATTCACAATGAAATAAGCCCACTGTTTAATATCATTTAACATTTTTTCTTAGGTTTTCTTTCAAGGGCTTTAGCAAGAGAAATGTTTGTCCTACCCTGGAAAAACTCTGTGCCATGATCCCAATGCTGTCCTGGACATGCCCTCATATCTCAAACCGAGCAGTGTGCAAAGGTACTCACTTCATTCATTGTGTCAAGTAAATTCTGATTCTCTGTAGAGTTAGATATTTTCTGCTTAGGTAAGTTTAGTATCGCTAATAAAAAGGAAAGTGATCTTCAGCTATTGGTACTGTTTAATGGAATCTACTTTATTGCTTATTGTGTCTGTAAAATGGAGCAAGTGCATGTGTTTTTGGCTTCATGAAAAAGGGCATGGACTGTTGTAAAAAACTATGCTGGTGGACAGAACTGTAAATGCCTTATTTACTTACTCTTTAACGCTGGAGGATGGCTTGAGGAATGTAAGAGGTTTATGCCACAGGTCAGGATTCATGTATGTGGAGGTTTACAGTTTGCATAATCTTTCTGCTCAGCCAACAAATGAATTATTCCCACCATAAAATGGACTAAGCCAGCAATAAGCTACTACTGCCTTTGTCTTGGCTTTGTTTCCTCAGTCACTAAGAATGGAAATGAAAGACAAATGGTCTCTACTGGCGTGGTCTGGATGAAAGAGAGCTGGGAGGGATCATTGGGAATAGGCAAGTCTGGCAAGGAAAATTTCCTCTGTTTTTTGTTCCTTTAGTCGTGGGGTCCCATCTCCCAGCACTGCCTAGCTGAAGATGTTCAATCGTTGCTCTTTCCCCAGTGTCAGTGTTTAGATCCCATGGAATAAATCTGGACATATTATTGTACCCACCGACATTACAAAATACAGTTATCAGGATATACATTTTTGGAACATGTTATTAAGAAAAGTGAGATGGAAAGAGCATAAACTATGTTTTTTAAAGCTGCATCTGCATCTTCTAAGCCCAATGGAAAATGCTAATGTTTCACTTGAGATCCTCAAGTGATTTTCACAGGTAGTTTAAGACCACGAATGAAGCCAGGAATTAACTCACAACATAAGCCTGTAAATTGCTAAACCAAGGTAGGAAAATGAGTGACATTGTTATGTCACCTTTTTGGCATGGGTGCAAAGATATAACGTGGTGGGTTTGCACACGGTACATTGTGTAATTGTTTGGATGATTCTTTCTCTATGGGAGTTAAAGTACTTGTTTTCTATTTATGTAATTAAAGGATGAGCATGTTTGGAATACTGCGTGTTTTCTCACATTATGCAAAAAGAGAATGTTCCACAAAGGGACTGTAGCTCAGAGAATTCCCTGTTGGTTAATTCAGTTCCTGTAAAGGAGGTGATTATTTGCTATCCACCTATATTAGGATCTGTAGTCATCCAGAAGAATGAAACGGTTTCCATGCAGTGTTATAGATTAAGATGGTTTTAGTGGGTATTACACATTACAGAATAGATGTGCCTTTTTAACAAGCTGGTGATCCTTTAAGGATGTAAAACCTATACAAAAACTGCTATAGCAAAATATACAACAGGAAGAGCATTGGGATTATCTTCTGAATGTTTAAAATAAATGGCTGGGCTTACACAATTTTTATGACTATAACATCTAAAGCTCTGGTGAAGGATTGGTTGCACTAATTGATTTTTTTTAATATGATTATATGTTGTCACTAAGCGATCTTTGTCATTGATGGTACAGTTCTTTGGTAACACCTCTGGAACTATTATTGTGTGGCTTTTGCTGCTAAAAGCTACAAAAATACAACTTCTTGCAGGTAATTTTTATCTTTAACTACTGTTACAGTTTTCTTTCAAATAAAATATACTGCTAGAGAAACCTCTGACATAAATTAAAAAGAAATAGCAAAGAACTCAGAAGCAAACCCTTCCGCAGTTCTGAGGAAAATGCTCTTTATTTGCATGCTCTTGCCTGTGAATCCGTGGTTGTTGTTTTTATTCAGATGTACTTTAAGAACATCTATCTGTACTGAAAACACGTAGAAGAATTGCTAACTAGTTGCAGGATAGCCTACTGGCTTAATGTCACACTGTTTATACAATGACTTCATTGGGAGGTATCTTTGTGTAAAGAACATGAAATTAAGCCCGAGGTAATCTTCAAACTTGGACCCAAAGCCACAAAAATAATTACTACTTTACAATACAAGTATCTGTGCTAGCGTGCTGACCTCACATAACTTGTTGCTGTTGTGTTGGGAATTTTTCAGCATGAGAACATAGTACAGCAGCCTTAATTTCTAGCCATAGATGCATAATTTTTCATTAGAAAAAATATAAACCAAGTGTCTTTTTAACTAAATGCACTTAAGAAACCAAAGTCCTGTTCATATTTCTTATATTTCTTCCATCCTCTCCATTCCATATGTACAGTCAGCAATACTTAATGGTATATGAAATGAATAGCAATAAGAATTTGACGCATCCCACAAAATCAACAATGTTTATTAAAGTCTAAAAGTCTGGACTGACACCTCGACTGGTGTTATGTTACTTTACTTAGTCAAAACATCTTAATGCAAAAGCAGGCGTTACAGATTATTATACAGCAGCACGAGCAGTTTGCCCATGTTTTGCAAGAGACTTTTCTAACTCTTCAATGTATTTCAAGTGGTTTAAGGACTTCAGAGGTGTGGCAACAAGGATTTCTTGTAGAAGTGGTATATTTTCATCTCTTTGAAAATGGATCTGAATTTTCAGGATAATAATATATTAATGTGCATTTCTGAAGTACCCATAAATCATACTTAAAGCAGCAGGACCAGCTTTTGTGGCAAAGGGAATACTTTGTGTCCCATCAAAATATTATGAAAGCAGCAATGCTGGTGATGACAAAACCCCAAAAGGAAAGTGCTGAGAGCTAACCTGAATAGCCTGGGAGACCCATGCTGGTGTTTGCCCAGCAGGTCCATGCACCAGGCTAGAGACTGCTCCGGGCTCCCACAGGTACCTCCAGCTCTGGGAACTGTTCCAGGGCCAGCCTGAGCTTTCAACAACAGTCATAGCCCAAGCCTGAGTCTTATAAATATTTGGGGAGAAACCGTTCTGGTTCACCTTTTGCTTGTTCTACTTAAAGGCAGATGTAGCGCTCCCTCCCACCTCCTGTTCCTCTCTAGTTATGCTCGTATTATGGCCCTCTTCCCACCTATGGCTGGGGGAAGGACGTTTCTGCAGTTTTTCTGGTGATGCCAGCCCCTAGAGCTGACAGATGGAAAAAGGCTGTAATTGCTTCCATGGTGCTTCCAGAACGATCTAGGGGAAAATGCTGAAAAAGTTCCCAGTAGTCATTTCAAAGGAATCCTATTTCCACTCTACAACAGAAATCAGGGGCCTTTATTTAAACAGATAAAAGGTTCAAAATAATGATGGGAATTTGGGAGGAAAGCCAGGATGAGTATTAGGACCACAAAACACAGCTCTTTCTGCTTTTGCCAATGTCCTGTAATGAAGAATTCTGTCCTGAATTTATTTTCAGGGGGATTAAAGATCAAAACTACAGGTGATGGACCGAGCAACTGTAAGTAAAAGGCGCGTCCAGCCCAGACAGTCTATCAGTGGCAGTCTGACGACTGACAGATGTGGGGAGCCCGTCCAAAGGAGTGAGCACAACTGGCTGTGATGCCTGCCAGCATCCAAATGCTCTTGTTGAGAAATGCCTTTCAAAAGCTTGGTGTCTGTTCTGGGGCAGCGCAGAAAGTAATGAGCTGAATTGGTGTCTAAGGACGAATCATTTCTCATCACACATTTTAAAGTAATGTGTAATTGTTTTATTTTATTGTGGTTTGGTTATTGGTCACATCTGTCTGTATCCCTCAGGCTACAAAGACCAGCACAATGACACACACCGCCAGATTGCCAGAAGTCCTGAGCAGCTCCTATCATATGGCATTTATTTATGGGTGGATATTTGAAATGCCACACTGTGCTAGGTGTCAAACTTTTTGAAACCTGTCTGGTCTACTCAGGAACACAAATAAGACCTGAAAATCTGAACTCAGCTGTGATTATTGTGGCATCCTAAAAACTCTCACCATAGCATGCAGCAGACCATGCAGTTCTGTTTGTCCATGCACTACACATCAACCTTCCCCTGCTAGCACTTTATCAGGCTCAGTAATGTGACAACTAATATTTAATTTTTCTGTCAGCTAACATGGCTCTCTGGGGAGGGCAAATAGGCCAGTTGAACATTGGAAGGCATATGTGGCATCTTGGTCTTCTTCCTTATAATATTCTGTATGTCATTGTTTTGAGTCTCCTACTCTCTAGTGCAATTATAATACAGCTTGATTAACCTAGCAGCTGTGCTTAGGATGATGACAGAAGAGAATGTATCCCAGCCTTCATGACAACTAATTTAAACTTTAGAAAGTTGTGTGGATTTGAGACCATAAGTTGTGTGGATTTTCCACCATGAATGCACATAGAGAGCTCACTACAAAACTTAACTGTAGATACACTTGGCACCTACTTTGTCTGTAGAAGATAGGAAGATAGGCTCCTGTTGGATAGTTAGTGGACAATCACTTTAGAAATTTATAACATTATAGTACAGATTTCTTTTTTCTCCTTCACTGTCTTCTTTCCTTCCTTTTCTTTCTCTCTTTCTCCAGTACATCCATGTGAATAAATGAGATCTTACATAAAAAAAGAAACCTAGCTTATAAAGAATGTTTAAAGATGATTACTATTGTTTCTGTAATAAATTAGCAAGGTCCTAATCTTGTAGTCCTTGTGGAAACAAAACTCCACTTGTGTGCTAAAGGAAAGGCTGAGCACTGGGCATGTATTAATTTGACTTAATATTTGGCAGAGGCTCTACCTCTACTTGGGTATATTAATAATGCACATAGACTCTACTTGATTAATAAGGGATCAATAATCTCCGTATGCAATACAGACAACAGCAGTATATATATATAAGCACATGGGATGCATAAGTGTTTGGTTTGTAAATGTGTACTAAAGCTTCAAAGAGCAGCTTAGTGTGACTTTAGACAAAACAAGCATGATGCATTAAGTGTTTAACTGTGTTAAATGCCTTTTTTCATGTTTACATAACGATATGCTGTGTTTATCTTGCAAGCGCTGTAAAAATATTAGTTAGCAGTCATAAATATAGTCCTGATAAAACGATACTACTTTTCAGAACTGCTAATCTGTGTTAATGCCGCTTCGGTACGGGTCCTGCAACAGCTGTTAGAATTTTGTCCCCTGTAGGTCAGAGAGAGAAGATGGGAAAATCCTTAATAAAATGTTGTTAGAAGCTACAGGTGGGAAATAAAGAAGCTCTTGTGACCTGTAATCTTATTCCCTCATAAAGTCACGGAGTGCACAGCAGCTTCTGTGGCTGAAATTAGACAACACGCTAGCGGCTTTTCAATCTCAACTTTTGCAGTTCAGTTATATCATTTTCAGTGAAGAACAAATGAAGGATACAGCAAGCACTGCCCCTGACCTTCCTTGCTGTTTTTAATAAGCACATTCAACAGCATGAGCTTCTCTGTCTTAAATGAATTACTATATATCCATGTACTGGAAAGAAAATACAGTAGTGTTTATCTTCTGTATACAATCTACTGTCAGATTTTAATTAACTCTCAGCCTCAGGTAAAGAAAATATGCTAATTTTAATAGTCTTATAATTACTGTGGGCCAGATTCCACCACCCAGCTGCAGCCTGGTGCCCAGTCGTGCACAGAGCCTCACTAGCTTCAATGGGACTAACCAGGGAGGAAGAGGCTACTGCCATCAGATTTTCCTTTCATAAGACAGCATTGCAGGAAGGAAAACATAGAAAGGCTCAATAGGCAGAAGTCAAGAATGAATCAATGAATGAATTATCTATTACCAAAACTAGATTATGTTATGGAAACAAGTGCACTGTTCTGTTATGTTTTAAATACTTTATGTATTTACATAAATCAGCCTCCTATGGCTACATTTTGTTTTTCTGTTCCAATGGGGGGTATATTCCATGCATTTCCGTGTAGACAATACATACTCTTTGGAGATTATGACTCTGCAGTCTTCACCTTTGCATCTTCTCATTCTTTCCTTCTGGTATCTCCTTTGCCTTTCATCAGACTACAGCACTGTAGAGTATAAAAATAAATATTTTTTTCTTCCATTGCCTTTATTAAATACAAAAAACAAAAACCAGTGCAGTATACAGGGTAATATACAACTCTGTACACTTCTCTAGTAAATTTTAATCACTCAGCTTTAATAATTTATACATTTAAGCTACCTGAATGAAATGGAGCTAAGGATAGAGTGATTTTTTTATTATTATTTTTATCAAAAGTACAAAACAACTTGTTTAAAAATACTCAGCTAATACTGTATAGATTACAATCAAATATTTACAGCTTTAAAGTCACAATAATTTGTTTAAATATAATTATGTGCAATTACTTATTAGTAAAATGATAGAGGACTGCTGAAATATGATAGAGTGGTATAATTAATTGGCTCCAGATGCAATGAGTTGTCATTTCTGAAAATTTAATGTCATCAAAGCTCTTTTTCCAATAGCACAAGGAGCACTATTGCTAATAGACTTCAGAGCTTGAAATAAATAAATCTTTGGAATCCTGTTGCATCTCTTGGGGTGTGACATTTGACAGTCTTTTATAGCACAGAACGAAACAAGTTTGTGAGCTGGAATTCAATTGTGGTGTATTGATTCCTTGCATCAGTCATTATTCCCTGCTGATTGACAGCTGAAAATTGGTTACGTTAAGTATTTCATATGTTATATTGGCTGACATTTGCTTGCCTGCTCCTGTGTCAATATTGTTGTAAAGATCTCCAGCTCTATGAGATAGCAATATACACTGACTGTGGCTTTTGTGTGATGTTCCAGTGTTTTTCCTGACATAATTTAAGACATATTAAAAACCAGCAGCATCTTCCCTCTTGAGAAGCTTAATGCCAATATTATTGTCTTCCAAGGGAAGATCATGTATGCTCATAATCGGGTGCTAATTTCCACCCATACGCTCATGTTTAGGCATTAGGCACTATAACTGTAAAATTGAGCCTGCTTGATTGATTCATGTCAAGCCTCATCTCGGCTCCTGCAGTGGAAGTCATCCAGCTGACCCTTTTTACACTAAAAGAAGAGATTTGTGTTCCTTTCTTTCACCTGGAACCATCAAATTGACTGAATAATCTGTAATACATTAGTGCTGACATTTGTTAGGCAAGAATTAAACAAGACACAGTAATCATTCCCCTGAATAAAAATTGTGTTTGATTTCCAGCAGAGTTCTATTAAAAGGACGGTACAGCCCATCTCCTCCAAAGTGGGAAATGGTGAATATTTTCTGTGTTAATGAACCAAATTAACACTTTAATGACAGATGGACAGTCCCTAGCTGCTCCTGACAAAAGCTGCTGAGTTTTGGATGGAGATGTGGTTCCAGTGCCTGTCAGGAGGACTATAGTAAGCTCCCTGGAAATCTTTCACACTGAACATTTACAGGTGCAGATAGTAAGATTTGACCATTTACCTGAATAGAGACAAGAAGGAGAATGATGCCTTGGAAATATGTATGTTTTATAGGTGAAAGTGTGGGAGCCAGGAACTGGTTTATTAAAATCTGCCTATTATCATAATTAACATGGTTTGCATGGCAGGGTTTTGGCATGTCCTTCCTTGAGGCTCCTGTTTTTATGGGCTCACTAATTTATGAGGCTGCAAAGGAATAACTGTTACAGATATGTATGTCTGTTATTCTTGAGCAAGCCTTAATGTTCCTCTCTCCTTGCCCTGGCAACCCACCGTGCCCCAGCTGGTGGCAGTTCGTGTCCCTGACCTCGCACGGTTGATTCTGATGGACACTGGCATCTACCCGTTCACTTTGCATCCCAAAAGTGGGTATGAGGGATCTTTTTCTACAGCTACAGCCAGCTAGCTCCAGGAAAAGTAATTCCTGAAGTCAATAGGGCAAAAACCCTTATTTACTGTCAATCTTGATAAATATGATGCTGAAGAAGGGGGACATTGGAGGTGTTGATTCCTGTCTCCTCCATGATGATATAAAGCATGAAGTCAGTGCTTGATATCACAGTCACTATGGATGTATCAGCATACACCTAGTATGACCAGTATCTGGTCTGATGTCTTTGAGGTCCTGGTGTTTTGTCAGTGTAAAACTGCATATTTTAACTGATGTGTGCTGCTTGTCTGGCTGCACCATGCTCTGTCCATCATGGCTGGCTATAGCAGAATTACTGTTGTACCATAAGTCTATCCTTTCAGGGACAACCCTGAAAGTAAGCATTGAAATATACCATTTGGAGAAACACCTGTGTTGGTTACATAAGTGACTTGACCATCTTGCACCTCAAAGGTTCATTAAGAGACAGACTTTTCCTTTGTCCTTGTGTTGAGGCTGCAGTTTTTCCAGCTGGGTCCTTATGGCAAGCCAAAATTGAAATGGGCTGTAGAAGAAGCACACTCTGTAAATGTGTTTTTGTTCTGTTTTTCTTTCTTTTTTTTTTTCCCCTCAGTGAGTCTGCTGGGAGAGTAAGGGTGCACCACCCTTGTACTGACATGCCTCTTGGATGCCCACATCAGAAACAGCACCCCTGGCTGGGAACGAAGACAATTGGCAGTGCAGGTGTAGATGAATGACATGAAAGCAGGAAAAAACTCTGCGAAGAAAAAATCTAGAGCAGATCTCTCCTGCCCTGAGCAAAGTAAAGTAAGGAGCAGATTGCTTCAACCTGTTGGGATCCTCCCAGCTGGTACTGCAGTTGCATTTTCACTTTGAGCTGAGTAGCACCACTCTAACCCAAAATAGTAAAAGCTGGTATGGATTGCAATTCGTTAAGAACACAAGGCTTATTAGTACCCAAACCTTTTCATGAGCAGGTGATGTGGGATTGGTACATGCAATCAGTCAGTCTGCCTGGTGGCAGCTGCTGCTTATTGTATTTAGGGCAGGTGCCCTGCCAAGGGGAGCTTTCAGTAGGGGTTTCTGCTGCCTTGGTGGTGGCTGGAGCTGGTACTCTTCTGGCAAAGGTTCCTGAGAGAGGCTTTAAAGCAAAAGTGCCCATTAAAAACAAACAAACAAACTGCAAATAGAGAAGTTGTGTTAAAGTGAAATAATTGTGTTCTGAGTGGACATCTTGGGCTTTGGCTGGTGATAGATGGTATGAAGTCTGCAGAGATGTGCCTGACCCATCTAGGAGAGCTACAGCTGCTGGTGAGTGGCCTTGTGAGCTTGCTGGTAGAGTTGAGGGCTTTGTTCTGGTCTCCTTGTGATTCATATTGACCCTCTCTGGGGAGGGAGGGTGGCTCCTGGCTCAGCCACAGAATCTCCTCTTGGTTTTTGCATTACCAGATGCTGTCCCTTCTAGTTACGCTTCCTTGCAGCCTGCTGCAAACACCACTTCTACTCTGGGGTAGGTTTCTTCTGGCAAAATTCTTGTGCCTAGCTCTTATTCTGGTACTGACTGGGATGGATGAGGGTTGGTGTGACCATAGATGCTGTCTGTGGTTTGGGCCACTCTGTTTATAACTCCGCATCTTCCTGTGCTCGGTAGCAGCCCCGTCGAACATCCCCCCTGGCTGCTCAAAGTGCAGAACAACTTTTTAGTGGCCTTATTAAATATTATATATCCTGGAACCATGCAGCACAACCAAGTGTTCTGAATATCTAACCCAGATTCTACATTTGGCTACTAGCTTCTGAGCATTTGGCTCTAGCTGTGGTACAAAAGTATTTCTCGAAATTATTTTCAAAACACAAAATTTTGAGCGTTACTTGCTCACAGACTGGTAATTTCCCCATTTAAATTTCAATTATGGAACAAACAATCCCAGTCTTAGTCCTTGTGCCACACAACTCATTAAACGGTTTGAATATTTCATAGCCCAAAACTGTTCATGTTAATCTATGAATATATTGTTATAAATAACTAATAGGTGTATAATGAATCGTGGCAATGATTTATGGAAGATTAATAGGTAGGAAAAAAGTATGAATCGTACTTTACAAGGGGAAATGCTGAAGTGTTATCTCCTCTATCCAAGGCACACAAATGTTGCTGGTGTTCCACTCTCTGGTGTGTGGATTTTGTTTTATATTTACATATATATATTTTATTATTATTATTATTTTATTTTGTGCTATATTCAAGATGGCAATGAGAGGCTTTTGTGGGTAATTGTACCTTTAAGAATCTTAGATTGCTTCATGGCAGCCCATGCATAATATCGCAGTGCTTTAGGATATAGATATTGAATGAGGTGAATCTCTGCATGTTCTTAAGTGGCTAATTATGAAGAAATAGAGGGGGAAACCTGCAAGAACCTAGTTTTATGGTGAAGTTAAAGATGTAAAACAATGAAATAGAGAGATATGAAGGATTTTGTAGCTAATGTTAAAATATATAACTAAACAGTAAAAGGTGTAGGGTTTTTGTTGTCTTCTTGACTGGGATGAATGTTTTCTAAGGCTTGTAACGAAAGTTTGGCCTGACTAAAATTGTCACAGGATCTTAATCACAGCACTAGTCTGATCTTTCTGTTGAAAGATCCAGAATCAGCCTCTACCAAAACCAGGTGCTACAACACTACAGAAATCACATAGCTACAACTGAGTCATCAGGGAAATTAGCTGGACATTGTGAGCCAGCTGGCAACCCAAGCTACTGCAAAACCAGCAGGCTGCCTTCAAAGCAGGTGGGCTGCTATGCACAGCAGACAGAGCTGTGTGCAAGCAAACTCAGTGAAAACTCAGTGCTCAGGAAATGAATGGGTGGGGGGAAGGCAAAGGAATATAAAACTTAGGATTTACAGCAGTAAGAACGCTCTCTTTCTGGGCTGGGACCATCACGCATGAACTAAAGGAACTTCTGATACTGTTGATATAAATACAACTAGAAAAATGTCTATGGGCAGAATTGTTTATTGAAACTGAGAAATGCCAAGTGCATAATGGGAAATGGGATTTATGTAAAACAATTCATGCTTGAACAGAACTTTTTTTTTTTGCACAAGTCAGTGTTAATCTGAACTGTTTAACAATGTCTAACAGGTGTTGGTTACTGCTACCTGTTTTGAAAATGGATGGTTACATATTTATTGCTTAAGAGATTTGACTGGTCATGGATTTTTGTGGAAAATACCAGGAGTTTTAGAGCTTTGACTCTGTAGATGGGTTAAAGACATCAGTTTCTTCCTGGACTAAATAGTTTCTCTTACTGAATGAATAAGACTTGGAGTGACTCAGAGCTCCTGCTGGGAGCATGGTTCTGACAAGAATGGCCAATTTCTGTCTTGGGGTTTTGTTGAATGTTAAAATGAGAAGTTCAAAAATATCAAAGGAGTAAACGGTAGTTGGGGCAGTGTGATAATCGTAAATAAATGAGTAGAGTAAGGCTGTTAGTAATTAATGTGCGGGGATACAGCTAAACAGCGTAAAAGGATTGGTCCTTACAGTGGAGAAAGTTCTCTTGCTTGTTGCTGAACTTTGAGTCTGATATCCTGATACAGCTTATCAGAAATAGCTGCTGCTTGCTAAGCCTCAGTTGTGATTCTGCATACCCATTATGATGAAGCCTAAAAGTAGGTCACAATTAAAGAAGACCGTGACTGTGTAGCATAGACTTAAATCTGTTCAGAAGTCAGGCACTAGCATAAACAGACCTGAAAATGCATGTATTGAAACATGGAGTCTTTTACCATTTAACATGTTCTTCTAGTTTGGTGTAATGTATCATTTTGTACCTTTTTTTTTTTTTCATGTCTCTTCATATCTTCTTTACCTGAAGGTCAGTGTTGCATGATGTGGGAGTGATGGTAAACTTGCTGAGGAATCTGATGGTTGTGTGAAGACCTTGAGATGAAATAGAACCAATAAAAACTTGTTTCATGCAAATGATACTTCTAGTGAAGAAAAAGGATGCAATCATGTACTGCAGTCCTCTTTTTGTGTAACTTCTTCCAAAACCAGGAAAGGGAAAGCAGAACCTACCAAAATGACTTCCTAAGGAGGAAGCTGTCCTTATCGTGTGGCTTCAGGAGAGCTGAATCTCAGCACTGATAGAGAATGAAAGTATTTACAGTAAGGTAATAATTTTGCCTCAGAAAGAGCTTCATCATCTTCATTTTGCTGCTAATGTGACTGCAAATCCAGGGGAAGCCATCAATGAAATTTAGGAATTGCTGGGAAAAAAAAAAAATCAAAAAAGCAGAACAATAAGTATAATAAATGACATTTTTCAACTTGATCCCCATGTTGTATCTTATACATTATGAAAACACTTTATTGATTATTATATAATTATAGTTCTAAAATGAGAGAAATCATTATGCTCTGATAATTCTATTCTGATAATGCCTGCTGGGTGCTCGTCATGCAATCGGCACTGTGCATGTTGGCCTTGAAAAGCTTGCAGTGCCTCCTAGGTTTCTTGTGACAAATGGGAGTTGATACAAGAACAAGATAAATAGCGAAGAAAAATAGCAAGTGATGAACTCACCTCAGTAACATTTTCTGTAAGCATTTATGTGAGTGTTTTTGTTTGCAAGAAAGTCTGTGTGGAGTGGCGTATCCCTGGATGTATGCAAGGGTTCATGCCATAAACCTTTGCAAGACAATCTTGAGTTCCCTACTCCTGTTTATAAAAGGTTCAGTCAATCGATCCAGGAACAAAAGCAATAGTGTGTGTCTTAGGTGAAGAGTTATCTGCCAAACAGCACATAACAAACAGGGCAGCAGGTCTGCCTTATGAGAAACTGTCGGTCTTTGGTTACATTGGGTTGGCTTATCAGGGCATGGACTTCGGCAATGCAGAAGAGCAGGTCCAGGGGTTGGGCAAGCGGAAGATTTCTGGCAGACTTGGGTTAGTAAAGTGCTAGTACTGAAAACTCTGGGCTACTCACTTTGACTTACCTTTTGCCTCCTGCTTGAGTGGTAAGGTGTTCTTTTTTTGTGTGTGGAGTCTTTTGTTGTAGTAAAAGGTCTGCTTTCTGCATTGTGATAAAACTATGCCCTCCGATATAGAGCTCAGCTGATTTTGAGAGAAGTCCTGGCTGCATAATCATAGAGATGCTTTGGCAATTGCTTGCTTTCTTGGCCCTTCTGAAGACAGTGGCAGGACTTGCTGCATGATGACCCAGGGCACTACCATATGTTGGGGAGTAAGAAGGTTTAGAAGAAAGGCAGGGGATGTAAGCTGCACAAATGTTTTCTGCTGATCTGGTAGAACAGATCCTGATACGGAATTACTCTTGGTTCCCACAGGTAGCAGCCAGTGCAAAGACATTTAAAGAAGTAATCTGTGGTGTAGCTAGGGGTTGTCTGGGCAGCCTTTACAGGTTTGCCTCAAGTGATGGGTTCTGCTTGAGGACCAAGAACCTGGGTGTTAACCAGTTAGTAATGGGCCACGCTTAGTACCATGATACTGCAGTCCTTGAATGGAGTTGGCCCCAGGCACACAAAATTTGATATCCAAAGTTTATGAATGGCATAATTTACTTTTTGTTTTACTAAAGTAAAGATTTCTCAACCAATGTGTGAGTGGCCCAATATTTTAGTATGTGTAGATTGAGTTCCAGGTAATTACCAATAGGAGTACATCATACTGTAACCCTAATGTTATCACTCGTGGCCAGCCTAATGAGAAAGATGAGAGCTGTGAGTCCTACACTGAGATGCACATCCTTATAGACAGGTAACTGCTACTACCCTATTTGTGCTCTGGAAACTTTAATAAGGGCATTCAGGCACAGAAATCCTGCATGCCCTGATACTGAACTGGCTCTTAAAGACCCCTCTCACAGCTGATGTAAAGGTCAGCTCTGGGTGCCTGCTTCATAGTACTTGCTAAGCAACAGATTTGCCCAGTAAGGCTGCTGGCACAAATTTGATTAGATTAAAGCTGAAGGACTGCCATGGAACAAAGTCAGCTCTGTAACCACATTTGCACACATACCATTTCCTCACTGTGTTCCCTCCACCAGCTGCAGCTCAGGATGTGCCAAATACTTCAAGTGCAGGAGTCTGAGTCCAGGCAGAAGCAGGGTGCTTGGGAGAAACTGTAATGCAAGGCTGGGGGCAGAGTATGAGGAGAATTGTGATGGATTTGCCTGCACCCTTCCTGCATATCACGTGAGCTGGTGACACTTAAAAACATCTCTGTCAGCATGGAGCATTCCGGCCACCTAAGTACTTGTGATTTTTGCATGTGGATTTGT